GAGAATAAAATTGTTTTCCAAGAAATATTTAAATATTTCCCATACATTGTCATGCATTTTTAGCTTGATAGTTTGATATTAAAAGCGTAACACATTCTAGAGCATTACTATACGCTCTCGCATATTGCAAGTGTCACTATCAGGTATTTTTATTACATTAAATTCCTCATAGAGCTTATAAATTAGCTCAGTTTACATACAGAACACAAAAGAGGAAGAGAGCAGACTGCTAGCGTATTAGTCATGTTATGTTTACACTAGTTGTATCCCTGCTGAGAAAGATTTTTGCGTCTATTTGCTGTAGATAGAATTCAACTGTGTACGCAAATACTTTTAGTTTCTTACAAATGGAAGCGTTGAGTCATTTCAGTCAAGCACAAGGTAACTATATGTTCATAAGTACGGATACAGGAATAGATTTAATGAAGTAGATTATTTTTGAGCTTTGACATCTAGCAAATTTTTATTTATATCCGAATTCAGTACTAATGAAAATTCTTTAATGTAGTAATATATTTGGCTGAGCGATGATATTTTTCATACAGACTAATCAATCTAATGTTCACATAGTTACAAAATGCTGATGATGTATCGTACTTTCTCAATTATAATCTAATTATTTAATTACATGCAAACATAACTTCAAGAAAGTAACAAATGAGGCCTTCTGTACTTTTTAAAACTCTATGCCCTATAAAGCATAATTTCTAACGTCCAAACGGATAGTCTCTATGCAGTGAATAGCATCCGCTTATGGTACTACTTTTTCCCTAATCGATATATTAATGTTAAAAATTTGATACTACTAGTCCTTAAAGAAATAGTTTACTTATTTTCAAATAAACAGTAACGTACTTCTAACAGTCATGCAGAAATATGTATTTCAAGTCCGATAGCATTAAGATTTATTGGGAGGTTGTAATTGATTTATGATTGATCATGTGAGTGCGATAGCTATAACAAAATATATTCTACTAACTCTGCTCGATGTTTACACAACACAAAATATTTTATACTAACAGATTTTATTACCGATTCACGAACGATTTGAGATTCTAAGTAATTATATAACAAGAGTTCTGATTAAAAAGGAAAAATTTTTTATAGTAATCGCCTTTCATAGAAAAGAATGACCAAGAACAAACATAACAAACAGAAAAATGCTGCGCTTAATTACGCTACCTAACTTATTTACAACATAATAATTGTGAAATAGATCCTTTAAACTCACAGAATTTTTAGTGTGCAAACCAAACTCTATGATTAGGATTACTCTCTATGAAGCTGAAGTCAGCATACTTGCATTATCATGAAGCGTTACTTCTATGTAAAATACCTAATATTATCAATAGCGATTGACAAGATAGTCTTTCATTCGATATTATTTTTTTAAGTTCTTTTTGATTTGTTTCTATATAATATGTTGACAGCAATAAGTTATGTAACAGCTTCATCACAGTAATAATGGAGGGAAAGTAGTACTTCCTATAAAACCGAACCTAATTGAGGGGAAAATTTCCACTTTTTTAAGTTTCGTCACAATCTGACTGATCCACTTTTTTAAGTTTCATCACAATCTGACTGAAGTAATGAAGAGAAATAGAAAAGTGTAAATCAAACTGTCATAGCCAACCAAACTTCAAAAGAGTGTCGATAAGACTACTCTCATTGGAAGCTTCTTATTATAACCTTTTACTTGCTTAACATCATGACTACTAATCTAACAAACTGCATCATCTATTGTATGCTATACAGAACAGTCGGTAGCATCAAAACTACAGTATTCTAAATTCAACTAAAAATTAAGGACACATGTGTATTTTAGAAAGATTTTACCCTAGATTCCCAGACCATTGCTAAATTAATAGAATAATCATAACTTAGCTATAAACAAGTATGATATTATTAGTATTACAGCATATAATAAAAACTAAAACAGAACTGATATAATTAGATAGCCATACGGTGTAACTATCAATAACTATGATAACATCAGTTTTACAGTGTATAATGAAAAGCTAAGACAGAATCGCGTTGATTCGATAATCATAAAGTAACTATAAATAAGTACGTTAATATCAGCAATACAGCTTATACTAAAAAATAAGACAAAATAAAATTGATAAGATATCATAATTTAAACATAAATAAGTACACCATCATCAGTAATGCAGCGTATAAAAAAAAGGCGGAACAGTATTCACGAATTAAAGTTTAACTAAAACAATTTGATTCACGTTATACTGTATGAAAAAATAACATAATCTATTAAGCCAGTTCCGGTACAGTAATTTAAAGAGAATTATAAACATATAAATTTAAACTTTGCCTAGGAAGTTATGAAGGAATACTTAAAAATTATCTAGAAACTTCTAATCATCATTTTGAAAAGCAGCACTTAATGGATTACATCATGACAGCTTAAATGCTATGTTTTGCGTTGAAAGAAAGATTTTTAAATAAGCAACTTCTAGCTAAGTTATTGGCTTGTCCTAAATGATACTTCGGTAGTTATAGCTTAAAACAATAAACTGTCATCATTGGATCAGAGCTAATTATAGACATAAAATTATTAAAATATCTAACTTTGAATTTCAACTCAAGTTAAGTTTACGTGTAAGCAGGAGTTGATTATAACTCTTAACATCAACGTTACAAAAATCTCTTAAAAGAATTACAGAATAGAATGAAGGGTAGAACTATTACTTTAAAGAACAAAAATATCTAAAAAAGAGATTACTCGCGATTTTAGGAGTATCCTATTTATTACCTTCTGATTTCGTTAACCTGTACCATGTAATTACTGAACAAGAGCACCTTTTATATGCTAACTTAAACAGTTTGTGATATCAGATTATCAATTTATCACCCTAAAGCATTCTAAATTAAACGCGCTATTAATGGCAAATGATATGATAAATTCTACCTTAGATTCTCGATATTGCTAATTTAATAATAATCATAGTTTAGCAATAAACTATATCCCTCTACAGTAATGGAATAGAACTAAAAAAACTACTTAGATACACTAGCAAGCTTAAATTAGAACCTAGGCTAAAACGTATGGGTTTACTCTATGCTCAAGAGCACGATAACATTACTTCTACAGTATTTTATGATCAAGATTAGCTATCAGTTTAGCATAAACGTATAATAATAAGTTCTTAAAGAGATCTAGTAAACCATGTGATCCAGCATCGGATAGATTAGCATATCATGATAATTGTTATTTTAATGATAGTGATGATTATTGTTATTAATTAAGCTTGAATTGTTATTTATTTTAATGTTTATCTTCCGGCCCTCTCTATTCCTTTACCTATTCTTTCCATCTTGCAATCGATGAGTTCGCGTCGCTAACCTCCGTTACTATAGTAATCATTCAAGATGCTGACCCTTGTAGCTTATGCCAGCCACTGTTTTCAACCTCATCTACTTTAGTAAGCTAACGACACTGCTCTGCTTATAACATTAAGTGGATGAAAATGAAGGCTATGAGATAGAAGCTAAGAAAAGCGGTTAGAGAGTATCTAGTTGGTGACATTGCCGTTCGATTGCCTTATTTAGTATTGACATTTAACAAACAAAGAATCTAACACTAATTACTATACATTAGATTAATTTAATTCTTCTTCTCGATAAGCCATTAGAATATTCTACTCGTTAAGTTAACAGCGAATTAAATTTCAACTTCAATTTTAATTGGCCAAGGGCGAAAAATTAATATTTCCCGTAAGTTAAGAGCTCATTCTTGTTGTGATTCAAAAGTAAGTGATGGTAAATTTAAACTAGAAATGCATCAACGATCTATTTATAATCTTCACCATGCTGCATGATAGTTTGCTGTTATCGAACTATACCAGCTATTAACGTTCTCCCTACAATTTATTCATAGACTGCGACTACAATAATTGCTAAATATCCAGTTTATTACTATGTTGCAGTTTGATAAGATGGGGAAACTAAAAATAGCCTGACATATTGGTCGATCTATTGTTACTAAAACTACCATTAGATTGAGGACGAATTGTAATATTGTTTTAAATTCTTGTCCCTATAAACACTTGTCGTTAAATTTAATTCTTCGACTATAGGCTACGTAAAGTTTATGCGCCTGCATTTATGATCAAGATAATCCTTTCTGAATCATCTCTGCCAATAGTCCATCTTCAATATTAAGCATGTCCATTCAATTTAAATCCTCATTCTATTGTCCTTGTTAATGTCTCTAATCGCTACCTTTTCATATTCTCAGCTGGAAAAATTGTAATACTATTACTTCCATTTCTTCTTCTACCAGAATGATTTTTATTATTCATTCTTCTTTTAATTTTTTTAGTGCATAATTGCTATTGAAACTATCCATAACTTTTAATTGGAAGTAATTGATTCCTAGAAATGCTTCTATGCTTCAGATTTAATTGTACTACATGTATATATTCACGATCACTTCAGATCTTGAAAATCAAGAAATACTCCCTCCTTCTCCCGTCTCCTGTAGTTCTATTTTAAATGGCCAAATTTGAATAAAACAAATTGCATAGTGTAAAAGTTATAGCGTTAGCAGAAATCATGATTGAACAAACATAACTGAAATTTCATTAAAGCATCAATCTATAAACCACGACTATTTCTAGACAATAACAAGCATTAGCTAGTTTGTCAATTTATTGATAGTGATTCCGATTTCCTTGATAAAATGAATCCTACATAGCATTATGGATAATTAGCGTTAAAAAATGCTTTATAGCGATGAAAATAGCCCAATCCGACTCTAATAATAAACGATAGGCATGATTCGAGGAATAAACAATTTAAACAACAAGATTAAGCTCTTGATACGATCCTAACTAATGTGCAGTAAACCGTTATGAACTGTAATATAGACTTGTGGTATCTGATTTGAAATAACATCAAAGCTTTAGGTTATCCTTTACATGATGTTAAATAGCTCATCTTTTAATTGAAAATAGAGTACTGCAGCCTATCCACAGTGGAGCATGTCGCTAAATAATACACTAATCGAGCCAGGATCATACACTAGTGATGATGAATTAACAACGGCAGAAGAAAGGGCTAGGTTAAAAGCCGTCTTGGAAGAAGTCAGTGTTGTTCATGCAGGTTTTCTTGATGTTCGCGAGTTAAAAACAGTTTGCGAGCATATCGGAATTGAAAATCTAAGTGAAGAGGTATTTCTACTTATTTCGTTATTTTATATGAATCATTTCTATTCATCGCTGCTAGAATCTCTATCTTCTATTAAATCGTTAAAGATTATAGGAGATAATCCGAGATTGCATTGTAAAGTTGACTTGCTATTTATTAATTCCAATATTTTCAAATACTTCTCAACTCCTAGGAGTTATCCTTTCTGTTCGAAGAACTAGATGTAAATAAAGATGGCAAACTTAGTTTTGACGAATTTTTAAATGGTTTATCCAAAATGAAAGAGTTTAGCGCCTCTGCTGCTAATACGCCTCCGAGATCTTTACCCGGAACTCCGCCACAATCACTACGTCTATCGGCATCGTTCAAGGTCTCTTCTTTTTAGATTAGTGTTCTCCATTTTAAGACATCGACTACACTAAAAGTGCAAAATTTAATAGAAGAAAACTATATATTTAGCAATTATTCACTACGATTTTGTAATAAACAATTTTTGCAGAGAAGTACTTCAAATAATCGTAGTGGATATGAGGTTACTTCACCAACCAGCAGAATACGAACTCCTTCTTCAGTTAATCAAAACGCTAATCTATTCACTTCGTTAGATCCTAATCACAGTGGGTTAGTCTATGCTTGTATTATAAAATTAAACGTAAAATTGCAATCATAACTAAAAAGGTGTATTCTTTTAGTTTCAATTTATGATCATCAACATAAAATATATGTTGTAGTTTTGTTGCAGCTGAAGCTATTAGTGAACTCTTGTCGCTGCAAGGATTAGCTCATGTACAAGATATTATTCAGGTTTAAGACATTTAAATGAATCTTTATGATCTCTTTAAGCGAAAAAATTTAATTGTCTTTTAAAAATTATGAATATTAGAGTCTACAAAATGATACCAATAATAAAATTAGTATCCGGCAACTATCCGAAACGTTAGAACATATTATTCTTGAAATAAGTCAAGACCCACGTTAGTTTTAACCAACATGTGCCTTCATATCGATCTATTTTATTTATCTTATGTATTTGTTACGTAAAGAAGTAAATTGATAAGACAGTAATAAGAATTCAGCTATTAACTATGAAATAATTTTAATCTTTCTTTTTTCTATAGCTGTTACACAAGCTATTTTAAGTGTGTATAAAAATGAAGTTGGATTCCTGAGGTTGGCTAAAGGCTCAATTTAATGATAACATAAGATGGACTAGTGACATATAATCATTTGCATATCATTCCGGGCTATATTTTGATCGAAATAGATTTTTATATTTTGATATTATAAAGTCACTAAAGAAATTTAGAGGCAGCTTATAATTGTCTTGATCAAATATTCCTAGATCTGCCATTGAACAACACAAAACCGAAAAAGAACGACTCAAGAGTGATTTAGCCAGGACTACTAAAGAACAGACTCTGTCTATTCGTCAATCAGAAGAAAGGAACGTTGATCAAGATCGAACCTATCACAATTTAAAGTCCGTCGTATAGTTGATATACTTATTACAAAATTTTCATCTGATAAATAATTGCCAGTCCAATCTTTATAAAAATTAAAATTAATTTTCAACCTTTTAATTAATAGAAATTCCGAAAGGGACCAACGGACCACCAAACAGATCCCAAAAATGGAATATTCTAATGGCCAACAGAAATATGAAGAACAAAAATTGAAAGATGAATTAGCTAACTCGGAAGAGGTAAAGAACCGAATATTTTAATCCTAGTTACAATCTCGAAATATTAAAAATGATAAAGATTCCATCCTCAACAAATCAAATAATTCAATCTTTTAGTCTTATGCTTAGATGAATAAATAATAGCGTCTAATTACCTCTCTCTTAGTATTTCTTTTGTAAGATTATTAATAGCTAGACTAGGCGCTTGAAAATCAATAAACCAGCACGGTATAACATCTAGTCTTGAGTTTGAATAAAAACGAGTGACTAGTATCAAAATATTAATTTTTTTCTACTAGATACTAGTAATTTGATCAGATCATTTCATTTCATAATCGAGAGGAATAATGATATATCATTTTAGTCATGAGTTAATCCAGTAAGCAGGATTATTAAATTACCCTCTCTCTTCTTCTAAGCAGTCGCTGAAAGTTTAGTTAGATGTTTCAAAATTGATAAACGAGCATAACAGCCTTCAACCTTGAATTAAATGATTGTGTAAAATTAAATCATACCTCTCTTCTTTCTAAATAATTGCCTAACTGAACAAATTCTATCGCGAAAGAAACATATTAATTCTTATTTTTGTGATAACCTAGTTGGTAAAATTAAATCATTTTTTTCTCATTTTTAAAGGAAACTATTTAATTAGAATGTTCTGTCGATAAAAGGCAATAAATAATTTTTAGTCTAGAATTAAACAAGTCAGAAATATCAGATTACCCTTCCTTTTATACACGTAAACTTGGTGCCTTGATAAGAATACCGATAGTTTAATTAGACGATTTATGCCCTCGCCATACACAATTTTTTGTTGGAGGATAATTGTAACTACTTCTCAATCCTAATTCAAGTCTAACTTTTATATAAAATAGTATTTCCTTTCATCCTATCTATTATAGGAAAAGAATCATTTAAGTGCTGAATTAGCATCAACGCATAGGAGATTAGTCGATGCTCAGCGTAATGTCGTCCGATTAACCAAGGAATTAAATTCAGCGTCGGAATTATCCCTTCAGGTATGTTAAGGAGAATAATGACAAGACAAAATATCGCCGTGCTCATGTTCTCCATCACCTATATACTTGCATCATCAATAAGTTTTATTAGTTTTAACGCCATTACTTTATCGCTAATTTACTTCTATATTATTTCCTTTCCTCGTCTTTTAGCTGACCAAATCTAATGGGCAACATCAAGATTTTAATAAACAACAGAGTACCAAGAAAGAATTACAAGAATTAAAGTACGAAAATCGTGAATTACGTGATCAAGTCCAAAAATTAACTACACGCTGCAATAAGTATCAGGATGAAATTGCTCAGTTAATTGAATTAGTTAGCTAGTTAAAACTGAGATTGCGACACAAGAAGATAGTATAAAATAGGTAATCTTTTCCTCATTCATTGTTTCTGTGCTGATATAATCGGTACTAGTCTACTTTTTATCCTACAGACAATTTTTTGATCAACATGAATAATCTACCTAAACAGTTAGCTATCTTAGCTCGCTACTGCTCATCTAGCTGATCACTGGTTTACTTTTTACGTTACAGACAACTTTATGACCAACGCATATAATTAATCTACCTAAACAGTTAGCTATCTTAGCTCAATTCACTACCACTCATCTAATCAATCATTTGGCTGCTTTTTACATGTGTATAATCCTTTCTATAGAGATTGCTTTCAATCAGTTGATGAATAAATTAGTTAACATTTTCAATAATAACAATATCTCAGTACCTTTTGTGGAAAATCCATTAATAAACATAGCAATTGTATATTAATGTTCCATAAACAGTCGTAATAGTCATTAAATAAACTTAATTGTACATCTTAGCCTATGTACCTTCTAAAGCTGTTACTATTAGTACATTTTACTGCTTTATACTTTTTTAACACTCTATATTGGGAATAACCACTTTAATAGAAATATTCTCAATCATTTGATGAATAAACTAGTCACCACTTTCAATAACAGCAACATGTCAATAATACCTGTGGAAAAGCTGTTAATATCTGTTCTTATCTGTTAATGTATTTCCTCAGCTTGATTTTTCCATACAGGTCGCCTTTAATTTAAAATTTACAACCACAGCAAGCATTATTTCACATCAATCAATACGTGCGGTTAATATCAAATTAAATTCACAGATTAAACAAACACAGTTTGTATTGTATTGGACTTCATCATCCTTTTTTAGTAATAAATTTTTTCCAACGTCTTCTGTTATATTATTTATCGCTCAAATTCGAAATCGATTTCAATTCAAATCAGTTATTCAATGAAAGGATAGTAAACAATCTGTTAACGAAGATAACTAATATACTTAGATACATGAAGCATGATGTCGAAAAACAATTCTATAATTTCCGTAGTCCGATACTTTCAGGCCATTTTTATTCAAGGATTGCAATCATACCATAGCACAATTGCACAGTACATCAAATGATGCAATGTATGAGACCTGATTAAGAATGATAATCGAAAACCTTTTCATACAGGCACATTTATGCCAAATGACATTAAATAATTTTGCAACAAGCAATGGAGCATTTGCGGTTCTGTCTACGGTATCAGATCAAGATCATATCTAACAAAATTGATAGTACTACTGTCAAACCATAAGCTACTTGTTAAAGATTAGCTAGGGATCTTATTCAAATGGATGATTGAGGTACTAATATAAAATAGTGTAAAAGATAAATGGGGTAACTAGGTAAACATAGTCTCTTGATGATCGCATACGGCAGATCATACTAATGCTAGGTGAAAATGACTGAATCATTTTAGAATTGGCACGATATCAAAGAAAATTAATACAACACGAAATATTATGATATTCAATATTGCATGACAGCTTCATTTTCTTACCATTAATTATTAAAATGATACGTATGATAGACTAATAACCTACAACCTAAAGATTATCACTACCTTAACGCACTCTTGTAATAATAATTGAATGTATCATTTTCTCAAGATCAAGTCTTGGAGAAAGCGGATACCATTAATTAGTACGACGTTGTAAGTAACGGGACGTGCTACATATCTGGTACGTCTTGGCTACGATTAGTTATTAGTATGATATGAAGAGATTCCTCTTGCGTAACCTACGGCATATTAATAACTAGTCTGACCAGTCAGTACGCTATAATCTGTTTAAAGGTTGGTAAGTTAGGCAGCCGCTGTATCTTGAAGCATATTTATAAACTGATGTCGTAAAACTACTATGCGTATTACTTGCTCATCAAATTTACACTATGTATTTCAACACATAAGAGGAGGATATGATTATTTGTACTTGCTAAAGGTCTTCTTTCCCTAACTATTAAACGTCGAATAGTTTAACATACTCGTATGCTGTAACAAGAAAATCAACTATTTCTCTGCAATCGAGAGTAATATTATCAGCGGCAATTGTATATTATGTACTGTACATTGGTAGACATCATATACAATACTTGAAGTTATCGATCATACGCTAAATAGTATCAGATGCGAAGGCCTACACCGATCATTCTTGAAAATTTCATATAATATTATTTACTGTATTACCTGAAATTAAAGTATGTGCATTACCTGATTTCGCAGATGATATACCATTAATGCTCGTATAACCTAAAGTAATACCATAACACAAGACTCCAAGAATAATACAATTAATTTCATTCCATAGGTTGAAGTATCAAGTATTTAATAGGAGAGCAAACAACACTTTTCTGCATATTATAAGATTGACTAATGCAACGTATTCCTATACACGTAGTTAAGCAATTTCTACACTATTATAACTTTCAAAATGTCCCATATTTTTGTTTATTGTCAGGCAATAATGAAAATTTCTTTTATTAAAGTTTCAAGTATTAAAATCAACCAACATCAAATTTATGAATATTGGTAAATCAGTGCCTTTTATCTACAATTTGTTCATCACATACAAAAATATATTTTAAAAGACGCATCTACTAGTTAATATTTGCATATACATATCGCTGAAAATTTCATTATACTATGGCTAATTTCTCCATAATAACCTTGCCACCAGCTTGTGAATGCCGATATCGCGCCAAATCAACACGTGTGATAATTCCTATTACCTAATCGATATAATTAGCCTCGTAAGTCAGAGATTAATTTAATCTACGCATTAATGCGCATACATATGCCTTGAAAGTATCTGCACTACAGTATTACGATAGAACATAAAATTTGTTTACTTGATTTTTGCTGTTGATCACGACTATATGACGAAGACCCAAACCACGGAATAGCCTATACAATCGTGGGAAGGACATGTTCTAAAGGAAATAAAATTTCAGGATACTTATGCATTTATATCTTGATCGATGTAGAAAGATACGAACATTAAGATAGCGTTAAAGCAAAGTTCAATTTTGCAAATCACCTCGTATACTGTATACGGGGACGGGTTCATAAACTTGGTTAAGTCAATAGTCTTATTCATATCTTCAGGTGGGATTTCACACTGTAAGGTAGAATTTATAAAGTATTTGTACAGCAGTACTTATTTCGAATAGTCAACAGTAGCAATGCTACATCTCTAGTTACCTAATAGAGACATTAGCTATTTCTTTTATAAAATTAAAGTAACTGTGTCAGATAGTATCCTTGTAAATAAAATGAGTAAACTGTTACAAACCAAATAATACTCTATTTTTCATTACTTACTGAACACACTCTGTGAAAGTTAATTGTTCATTGATAACTGATGACTATATATTAGTCTTACCGAAAAATCATCGTGCTTGCTGTAAAAATGTTTAAAGGTATCGAAATCCTTCCCATTCAATCGGTAGTCTTTTAAGGGATGGTTGCTTTTATACAGCTAATGAAATAAGGGAATTATAATAATTTAGTAATGGTGATAATTGATGAATATCAATACATTATATGTCCAAGTGGGAAAAATTGAAGTATTCAACAGTTACTTGGTTGATATTTGCATCATTTCAAACCTGTAATTCTAAAATGGTCTTGAGTTCAGAAAGTAAGATTAAACCAATAAGTCTTCCTTTAACATTAGTATTATTCGCGGTAGCCGCAGTTCCCTCAACAGTCTTATTAAAGTAGGATAGAAAAATTTAAATTTAAAACAATTTTAAAAGAAAACTGCGCTGAAACACAATTATGAAGGTATGTGCACTAACCAAGTTATCAACTACATCGTCATCAACAACTGGGTAGCCATTATGCCTCAAATCAGCATCTTTAATAACAGTGTAGATATCGGCCACCTTTTGTGAGTTTTAAGCAAATTTATTAGCTTGGACAGCCACAGTGTAATTACTAAAGTTATACATCATATCCAAGAATCATCATATTTACTCTTTCCGTTTTGCGTAAGGTAATTACAGATTCGCAAGTTAAATCTCTGTAAGTTTTAAAAAAATTCACGACGTCAGAAGTGAAGAGCATACAGCCCTACTCTGTATACACTCCAACAATACTAACTTTACGGTCAAACTACCAGATAAATCTGGCGGTTCCCAAGGCAGCAAAGGCACTTTCATTAATTGTACGTGAATGTCATATAATCCCTATAAAATTTCACATAAATAATTACAGATGGAAAATAAGTGTGTAAGAGTACCAATAGTAACAGTGGTTTTCACATGTATGGTCACAACATATTACCTCGTTAAAATAATCACCAACTAATTTCGAAATTAAAATAACCACCATCAAAGGTAATCCAAACGCAATATCGCCAATAGCTTCGACAAGAATTACAGTAATGCTAATCGTCATTCTAACAACGCCAGCTAAAAATACATAAAAATCAAGACTGTATCAGTAAAGCTTTCAATTAAGACTTCGGTTCTGGATATTTGTATCAAAATTATTATTTCCTAATACGTTTACCTAACATAGCCGCTGCTCCCATGAGAGCATATCTTCCCGGACTTGACCATTCCTGCAATACATGATAGGATTATAAAAAACACTTAATGTGATAAGCACTTTAATTGCATGGCTTACTTGTCCTGGAATTAAGTTAATAAGTTCTCCCAAAATCCTTCCCCACGCTGCACCAGTTAGGATACAAGGCACGAATAATCCGCTGGGTACATTAACTCCATAGGTCCAACAAGCGGTGAAGAAGAATATTACTGTAAACCAAATTAATGTCGGTATAGTGTATAGACCTATAATTGATTTGAAATATGCAACAATTCATTATAATGTAACCTGCCGTCTTGGTAGATGTACAGTGCTTGTACAATTTTATCACTATTACGAAATTATTCTTTTGCAAACCTTGTGGTGTGTGAAACATATTTTTAATCGCTTTCTCTGGCGTATTTAAAAACAATGTCGCCATTGTATTATAGTCGCCATTACCGCACTTAAACTAAGTAAATGGTGTTAATAATGTTAAATGGTTGTAATTTTTCTTAATTACTCACTTAATACAACAGTCATTTAATTACCGATGTAAAATTAAAAGTTTCCAGTTCTGATTGTATGGCTTCATACTTTGGCTGACAGCCTTGATTTAACGATACAGCCAGGAATGCAGCAGCTGTGCAAACAATGATAACAACGATCGCCTCCAATAATTTTAAATAGCTCTTTCGAATATTCCTACAAACAACGCAAATATCGGTTAGTGAATTGCTTATCGATTCATGGGCTAGAAATAAAAAAATTAGGAGCTATCCATTCACTTACCTCATTCTATGCAAGGATAATTTATAGTTTATGTAATTAAATAATGCGCCAAGTAATCCTCCTAAAAATATAGTAGATCAAATCAAGCTAAGGCGAAGAAAAAGAATAATTAGAAGCAATAGTATATTTTCTATTCTTGTTATTTACCAACAATGCCCATTAAGAAGAAAATAGGTAGCTCATAACCGTAGTAAGTGACACCCTGAAATGTTTGAATTTGGTTCGAAAATAAATAAAAAATTAAACTGAACAAATTATTTTAATGTTTTTATTTGCTAATACCTTTTTAAAGTCACCGAAATCTAGTAAACCAGGGAAAGATAAATTAAATGGCATACCATGGATGAAGGATCGTATCACGTTTAAAGTGAACGTTGATGTCATTGACGCAAAAAACTAAAAATAATGGAGCCTTATTAATTGTGGCTACTTGCATCGAAATTTACAAGAAATCCCGCCAAGTAATATATCAATCAAATGGACATCAATAATATAATTCTTATATTTCAATACGGGATTATAGCTTCAAATAACAGATGTGCTATATAATTAACTTGTGCAAATTGAAATTAATTTTACTTAATCTCAACATACAATTCTCCACGTAATTGATTGATACCAGAAGCTGGCACCTTCTTCTAAGCTAAATAATACACCACCTGTAAATGCAATGGGTCAGGTACATTATTTATTTTAGCAATAGAGAGTTGCATAAATATCGTTAATAGATATTATTATTTCATAAACTTGTGGTCTGTAATCTGTTAAAATTGTAGTGCACTGCTCAACTAGTAGGTTATCCTAGGCGATACTAAATTATCATGTGCGAATAAGCTTCGATTAAGATCGGATGGAGTTCTTACCTACAGGTGAACCAAAAGCAGCAGAAACACCCGCAGCTGCACCTGCAGATACAAAATCACGTTTTTCCACAGGCGAACGAAAGTAATGAAAAATCTACAAATACATAGCGACAGAAATTGGTGATTAATGGTAATGGTTGCCTGCTATCGAAATCAAGGCGGTAATTCACAATGCTTACATTGAAAGAACATTTTCCTATGGTCACCTTGCCATTAGAAATGGCAGCGGCCAGTGCAGCTCCAGAATGTATCATAGGGCCTTCCTATATCATGTAATATTTAAAAAGTCGGTCAGTTGTATGTATGCTTAAGAGTATTCAGTTTTGTAGTAATGTAAAATTAAGCAGTTTAGTAACGATACCTTCCCAACAGGGAGACCTCCAGCTACAGAAAACAAAACGCCAACAGCTTTTGCGACCAAAGTCTGTGTAAAATAATCCCGGTAATACCACGTTTAGCAAGAAAGCATCACATTTGTTTCATAAGAAATATCTTAAACATTAAAAGTAGTCGTGCAATGTCACTTTAGAACCCGTTAGACTGAATGATCAGGCCTACCTTCAAGCGGACACATCGCTGAATATTCACACCGTTAAGGAAGCATTTAATTTGAGGTATACCACTTCCAATTGCCACTGGCTACATAAATGGTACGGAAGGGTGAATATTTACAGCATACTACCATAATCATTTTGATATCAGTATTTAACTGTTGCCAGTAACTTGAAAATTATTAAAGTAAAATTAGCGGCATCGCTGTTACTTTGCTAATTTTACCTCTAAATATACAACCAAAGCAGCCGCTATAAAAACCAAGCTAATGCTAAGGGCCAACCATATTAGATACGGTTGAGCTAGGCAATCTTGGAAATAACACCTGGTAAATGCTAAGATGGATGAAGCACGCATGTTATTCTTATAAACGCTGTACCATTTTAATTTCATCATTTCTCAAAGATCATAGCAAGTAAAGACTGTATACCTGTTGTTATCCACAAATATTTTACACTGGATATCGCATTGATGCCTACGTCAATTAGGGCTGCAACGCAAGCTGTGCTAACGCCAATTAGAAACATGATGATCCATCTTTGAATGTTTACAAATGATAATATCTACGTTGTAATAATAATAATTCAAGATTTATAAAAGTTTCTGATTTAATTTATCAAGCACAAAATTCTTTTATTGTAAATATTGTACTCCGAAATAATCGATAAACTAAAGCAATTCAACTCGGTGTTAAGGATATAGACGCAATATATGAATGGTAAGTTATCACAAATGTGAGTATGTTCTAGTACAAGACCAGAAATTGAATCCAATATCACATTAATGGTATAGATACGAGTATAATTAATTGCTGCAACTAAATCTATCCTAATGCTATACGGTCGATGTAATGTATTTATCGTAAAATACGTGGAAAACAATTTTAAATTGCAAGACTATTTTATTGTATCTACGCGTACGAGTATATTCCCATACAATCCAAAACTAGACCTATCTAATCCGATGTAAACAGTATCGATGTAATATAGCTATAGTAGGTTACAGCCGTAAATTTCAGTTATAGGTGCTGTTTCTTACAGATGCTTCCTTTGGAGGAATCTGAAAAACTCTTTCCCAGTTTTCAATATTATCCGATCTATCATAATCGAAACTCTATAGTATTGACAAAAAGGTAATTTCATTAGGCATGATAGTTCTAATATGCAGTGAATATGTTGAATATACAACGTGAATTTTTAAATTCTAAAAAGTAATGTCCTTATACAATAATATCCGTTATTCTGAGCAGCTGAAATTGGATAAAATTTCACTCATCACTTTTCCATTATAATTTAACTTTTGATCAAGCTGTTACCTACCATGACAATATACATTACCTCATATTGCTTGGATATTTCATCTAAGCCTTGATGGTGGGCATGACTAGCGTGCTAATAATTATACAGTATAGATATTAGTTGAAGTTCGTCAATGTATTGTTGCATGTTATCGATCGTTTCCTAGTACTGTAAATTGAAAGTGTGCCTTGACTTTATCGTAACGTATTTATTTCATTAGCTCACGGCTTCTATATTAACTATTCCAATGCAATTCATTACACTTACGTTTATTGAATAGTTGTTAACAACCGGCTTTATTTCGGTGCTTGTATCGTCGATAGATGAGTACTGTAGGTATTCAAAATAAGTAATTGTAAGTAGTGAATTGCGTAGCAAAAGTACCGAGAATGTTATTATAATAGCAACATGTTTTATATTTGCATTTGAATTTTTGATTGATGTTTATGGATGTATTTTGAATTTCATCAATACTGTATCAATAAGTGGATTGATATAAGGATGTGGTGTCTACCATGCCGAGGCAGAAAGGAGAAGAAGCTGTCATGCTTCATCGTCACTTAATGAAATACGATAAATTTGTGGTCATTCAATATGATGATGAGTATGGATTAATATTGTGTATTTGTTATCATTATACCTAGTACAATAATTAATTTATACATTATAATAAATACTAGTAGAACCCGCGTTTGTTCTACTTTGCTTACTGTATGCACTTGTACTTTTTATTATACAATTGTCAGAATAGGAGCCATTTTTCCAATCACAACTTGAGCAACTCTGAGAAATCATATAAAGCTTGTCGGATTTTTCTAGAGTGGGGGTACAGGCTGTACAGTAATTGTAATGCAATATTTCTCAGCAGTGATACTAATGGTGTCTCCTCAGGTAGTGATGATGTTACATATATAATTAATCCTATTAAGATTTAAAGAGGTTCAAGTTCCTTCTCGAAATTTGCAAAATCTTGATACATTAAAATGGATATTTTACGTTTTATTCAATGGATGGGAAAGATTTGTCCTGTATGGAACGTGATGCAGTTGCGTTAGTATTGGATGCTTTTAATGAATTTTATCAATGGTCCAGTTCTTCTTTATTTTCCATTCCATAAGAATCAAGTGTATTCATGCTGAGGAGTACATCTGCGTATAAGTGTATGCGTTGATCGATCTCTTAAGTTTAGAAAACCAATTAAAAGCGCACAAGTGTTTTACTAGAAGTCCATCTTGTATAAGATATAACGACATTGCTTTACTCGAAGTAAATGATTCAAGTTGAACATAGAAATGTGTTTGCCTTATTCACTCCAATTATGGGAAATAAGATACTAATATAGATCAAAGTAGCTCATACCTATGGCATGCTGTCAAAGAAGAGATGATGGCAATCACTTGACTCACAGTCAATACCATAAAGTTTAGAAGCGTTTATTATCTCTGAATGTTTCTATCGATAAATGAATTAGATGCGTATGTACGCTCGTATATTCAAGAGTTTATTTTCCATGACATTGATTGGACTGATGAAGGACATCAACCTGATGTTCTTTTCGCTATCATTTGAAATTTATAGTCGTTGATTCTACGGTCCATCAAGAAGTTTATTATTCGATCAGACATGTGCGCTCAAGAGTTTTTATTCCATTCTACACTGTTGCGGTATGAATCGTTGGCCATGTCCTATTTGGCGTAATCATTTCAACTTCATTTTCAGATTTAGTATACTATCGATGAAAGGAAAGAATTATGAAGGACCAGTACAAGTTATCGTTGTAATCAGGTCTACGCTCGTATATCCATGGTGGAATAGGATAGACAAAAATAATGTTCAAGCGATACTGGTCTTACCGACTAATTCACAGATTGAATCTAGGTACGATCCATAGCACCATCGTTCAATAACGATGCTATGATCATTATAATCAAGTGTTTACGTTGATTTTTTAATTTTTATTTCATAGCATGGTTACTTGCGACTGGTAGAAAATAGCAAACTACTGTACCGTGGTGGATAAAAAAGTATGTTGGCAAGAGAAAATTTTGTTTTCAAGTGGTCGATAGACAGAATCTGCAAGTGTATTTTCGATTTAATAGAAACAAAGTATTGGCAATGTTGAACAAGATGATTCTCCTCTTCTCGTCCAGGATGCATGACCAAGTTGACTATTGCCTTGTCGATCGATCGATCGTATTGGTTCTTTATCGTAGATACACCAACAACAATAAACTATCCTCTATTGGTTTCATGTCAATGATATACAATCCTCTTGGATGTCTTAGATGCTCATTCGCCCCATCCATGCTTACTCCTACCTAGCATAAAGATGGGATCCTACTGAAAAGACTCCAATTGCCTATCGACTGAATGGATCGTCATGGTAATGTTGTGATTGAAGTTGGACCCAACCAACCTTGCACTTGAAGTAAACTAGCTACGTCTCCTAGCGAGAGAAGATAGCAAATCACTTACGTTTTGAAGGTGAGAGTGCATTAAAGGAGATTGCTCGCCTCGTTTCACATTCAATTTGACCATCTTGCTTGCTCTCTCTTAATGCTTGTCAACAATCATGGAGAAAATGGCTTTCCAAGGCTTCCGACATAGCTTGGCAAATGGATGGAAAGATTGAAGGGGGGGGGCAGTCGTTCCTACGTCCTATGACGTCAACGATAGCGGGTCTGTGTCTCCAGTAGCACGTACGCGCTCGCGGTACGTGCTCACTGAGGGACGACAGTGCAGTAGAGTCAGAGCTGATCGAGTCAGACGCAGTACTGGTTTGCTGCTGCTTGCGCGTCAGTGTCTGCGAGGTGGAAATCACGTGGTCTACGCGAGATTGAAGTGGAGTTCCCTACAGTACTGTGCGTACAGTACATTAGTGTTACACTATTGTACTGTACAGTACTGTAGAAGAAGGTCTTCCTTGGTCTTCTTGTCTGGTCTTTTTCTACTCTAGTAGTCGATGATACAAGGGATAACTTGACGAAGCACAATCTGTCCAGTTGTAAAAAAGAATTTCTACACTGTACAGGGTGTACGGAATGTGTTGCTACGAAAAAATGCTAAATTTCGTGTAAAACTAGGTACCCTGTACACTTATTTTGAAGGGTCTCAACTGTACAGTAGACTACACCAATACCGGTGTAACTTGGCAGACAGTAGTGTACAGTCTATTTGATACAGTATCAACTTCAAACACTGTAGCAAAACCTGAACAGTACGTACAGTACAGTAATACTGTACAGTATAGTGTACAGTGTACAGTCCGCCATTTTGGGTCCTGTATTCTACTGTACAGTACAGTGTACAGTCTACAGTATTTGGTACAGTATTAGCTTCAAACACTGTAGCAAAACCTACAGTATACTGTACAGTACAGTACAGTACTACAGTATACAGTAGTGTACAGTGTACAGTCCGCCATTTTGGGTCCTGTATTCTACAGTGTACAGTCTATGTGGTACAGTATCAACTTCAAACACTGTAGCAAAACCTGTACTGTACTACAGTGTACAGTATATAGTGTACAGTACTGTGTATCGACGTACAGTACTGTAGAGTTCGCCATTTTGGGCCCTGTACTCTACAGTGTACAGTGTACACTGTACAGTACCAAGAGAGAGTACGGAAGAACGACAGCTCCATGTGCTATACTGCTGGCACGACACTGGTCAGTACAGCTTACGCATACTGTACTGGAAAGTGCAGTCTGCAGCAAACGTCCAACCGGTCCACCCTACAGTACCCCATGTTGCATACTACAGTACACAGTAGACTGGACTGGACTGGAATGGACTGTAGGAGGAAAGGCCAGTCCAAAAGCAATCACGTTGTGCAAGGACAGAAGGCTTCAAACAAAATGGTAGCCATGACCTCGTTGAGAAGAATTGCTCATTTTCTACCACAATCCTCATCGATGTACAGGTTTGCTCAATCATATCATGAAACCATGCAATAACGTATTAATACTACTATTGCCAATCACCAATACGCTAATCATGATAACTTGATCGCATACTACTTCAAGTCCAGCTAAAAGTCGTTTAATCGAGCACATTGCTGCTTTCAACGCCACCAACAATAACTCACCAGCGATCGACGTAAACCATAACTTATTCCATTCGATCATGCTAGTGGAGACTGCAATGATGAGTGCAATAGTTCACCACTACAACATAAGTGTACTGGTTATTACACAGTACTGTACAGACAGTAATGTAATCTCTTTCGATCCACGAGCTACGCTCAAGTCATAGCACACGCAATAGCTGCTTCGACCTACGCAATCCACACCAATTGACGGAATTCAAATTGGTCTCGATCATATTTGACCACGACTGTCGGAAACGATGATAGCGGACTAATTGGATTCAATTCTACTAGTTATGACAGTGATTTCAGGATCATGGTGTCAGCGCCAATACTATTACAGTAGACAGTACAACGAGATCGACACATAATGTCTTCTTTTTGTTATCAACTTCCTTGCAATCATCCTATACAATACTGGACTGGAACGTCATGACTGCTATGGCTAGTTTTATTCAATCAAAGTGAAATTGATCCGCCTTGAAGCTAACGTAGGAATCATTTCTATTCATTTAGGGTACTTGCACAAAGAGCACCCAATGCTTGTATTATAGTAGCCTCGAGGAATTGCCAAACGATGCCTAAACCATCGGCGGATGATCAGCCAAAAGAATATCCAGAAAAGATTGTTAATATAGTCGATAATATCTCGCAATTGACGATATTAGAAGTGGCCGATCTCAACGAATTATTAAAGGTACATGGTTAAATAAGTAAAAAACGTGTAGTAAAGACCCTAAACCATAACTCTATCCGTGAACGTAATCATCGCTGAGTAAAATGTTATTTTATCAAAACTCCATAGGCCCGCCTGAATATCAGCGATGCACCGATGGCAATGGCTGCTATGCCACAAGCTGCACCAGCTGCTTCGGTATGTTCTATCTCGACTTGACGTCGATGCTTAGTATAACTTTAATGTATCACATCATGACTTCCCAAGGGATATGTATATACATACACGTATACTCGTATATTACATCAAAATCAGTAATATTCCTTTCAATCATTTCTACAGCAAGAACCTGCTGAAGAGGAGGAAGTACAGACTGAATTTACTGTCAAATTAATGAAATTTGATGATGCCTCAAAAGTTAAACTAATTAAGGAAATTAAAGCTCTAGTCGATGGAATGAATTTAGTCCAGGTATGACATACTCTTCCTTAGTATTATTAAATAGCCCTCGAAGGTATATGTGTTCTATCTTACGCAGTACACGGTCATTATATAATCATAGCATTCCCTTTTATACAATCCTGCTGACCTACCATTCGCATTGTATTCATTGTTAGGCCAAAAAATTTGTCGAAAGCACACCTCAAGTAATCAAGAAAAACATTTCCAAGGAAGAAGCAGAGCAGCTGAAAAAGACTTTAGAAACTGCTGGTGGAAGCATTGTCATCGAATAATGTCATACACACTACGCGTTCATAGATAGGCTTAGTGTGATATACTAGCAGATATAAACTGTTATCTTGTATTTATCGAAATTTATTATGCTAAATCAATTTTATAAACTGACTAGATTTTCATCCATAACTGTACTGCTCTAATTTTTAACATCAAATGGCTACATACATTTGCTGCACAAATTTCTTATGGAGGCTGAAATGCGTTCATTACTATGGATTATATACAGAGGGATATGTTGCTGCATAGTGAGACTGTATCATGCATGCAATTTTTCTACATCATCACTTCATGCTTTACTTTTTTTTCCATTTTCAACTATCCATAAATACGCCGTTGTATGATGTGTCGATTGCTGATTGTCAATCCATCGGATATGCAATAAATATCCAAACCAACCATTTGGTTATTGCATCGAGTGCTTGCATAAAAATATTTTAATAACGATCCAACACAACATCATTGCAAAGGTATTATAATCTTTCAGTTTTTACTACACTTCACTTTAGTAAAAAATTGACATGCATTGATTTACGTTCAGTACGTACAGTACATTCATCATCCTGAAGTTTGTCGACAGTCAATAAATTAGCTGATTTACTAGAAAATCACTCAAGTTATACAAAAAAATTTTCAAAAACATCTGGAAATTGCATTTACAATATAGACGATGTCAATCTATGAGTCTATGACTGCTTCAGTCATTTAGGAGTCCAACACAGCTACAATGTATTGTCGAGCATCTTTAAATATAAAACATTACTTAAATTCAAGTCACAGTCCTGCTTTCAACCTAATGCACTACCCGTATAATAGCATATTTAACCCATCAATCATTGAAGCAAGCCGGGGACAAAAATGACGTAAATTGTCCGTTTAGCTATACCTATGCGACAGCGACATTCATCGTCCAATCAGACAAGCCATCAAATTGGTAATATTAATGTTGTAGTGGATTAAGGAACCACATACTGCCTTTATTAGCACAGACGTCCTACAGAATATTATAGATGAAATCGTAACATGATTAACATTAATTCAATAGTCTATTAATAAGCATAAGTTCTGCTAATTCCATACTAAAAAAATGACATACCTTCACAATCTTTAGATATTGCTTATCATTTGGTGCTTCGCCAGTTTTTTCAACCATAGCTAAGACAATCTCCCTGCGGCGTAGTTTAGCCTTGTCTTTAAATAGATCTAGCAACACTTCTCTATACTAGAGGCATTTAGAAAGATTTCATATTCATTTAAACTACCGTGATTTAATTATTAACCAACAATACCCGTCTCATTGAATGTTATAATTGAAGGATGTTTAAAAGTAAAACGCTGAATTATAAATACACAATAGTACAAGTATACAAACGTGATAATCTAAAGTCATTCATTTACCTTATCATTAGTTTCATTTAATTTCCGTTTAACATATAACTTTGAGGGTGTTTCATTTGGTGATAAAGGCTAATATGCGATATTGATAGTAAGTACGACGATAATTAGTGATAATGGTGTATGACATGAAATTTATCATATAATCTACGTAGGAAAGTAAGAAGATCATTATATTCTACCTGATGTTCTAGTTCTGTCACTCCAATTTCTTTTAAACATCTCTTTAACGTATTGTCGGAAACTCCTTTTGCCATAATATGATCCTCCTTTAAAGCTGTATTCAACATCATTCAAAATGAATCTTACTGGACGTGTCTTGTGTAAGATTTCGGCTTATCTTAGACAGGATTATCGACAAAAAATGATTCATACTAACTTCCTTGGTAAAGTAATAACCGTCTTTTTAGTGTTTCTAAGCTATAAATTGAACGATCAAAGATTTCGCATAACCAGTTCTTTACAACAACGATTAATTCATCTGGTACAGCTGAAGTATTGTTATTGTCATCATTTTCCGCCTGCTTAAGCTCGTTCATACGATCAGTTGTCTCTGCTACAGATTCGTCCACATCCATTGGCTCATCCTTAATTTTGATATCATCGCTACTGTTAAAATTACTTTGCTGAGCTATTGCCCCATCGGGAACGTTAATTTTAATCTTGCTGTTACTTGGGCCGTCAACAGAACTAGAGTTTGCATTTACATGTTTCGCAGCAAGTTTTTTAGCCATTTTAATACGTTCTTGGCCAGATATGATTGCCTTATCTTTACCCATCACCGGTTTTTTATCTTGTACTGTCTCTGACTGGACCCCAGTCGGTTGAGTAGGTAATTTTAACCTTAATTTTAGTCTGTTAAACATAAAATAGAACATAATAAATGGGAAGTTACTAGCGTTATACACAAAATATAATATATGAAATTTATTACGCCAATTGTCTACAGCTTACTGCTGGTATTTCTTTTCCCAGTATTGTACCTGTCGCTGAGCTACATCAGGATACCTATTAAATTACATTGTAAAAATTACATATGGATTACAGTAAGGCTAGCGATAAGTTATCAATAGTGCCTCATGCGTTACCTTTCAATAAATTGATAATCGTACGGCAGGCAAAATTCCCAACCTTTTGTGACACGAAGAAGGGCTACTTGCGTCATGATTTCTTTCAAATCCTCGCTAGGTAGCTGACGAGCATATTACACGGAAGTTTTACTTTCAAGCACTAAACTTCTTTGACTTTGTTATGCGAATATATTACTATGACTATGCATACAATACTGTACAATCTAGTAATGTATCACGCAGACTGTGTACCTTAACTACCATAGATATTTCTTTCCTGCTGGTTATACGAGTTTGTGTAAACTTCCATAACTGCCACAAGATACATTGCGATATTAGTAAACAACTATACTCGAGTACGTAAGAGCATAATAACACAATTTGTGAGGCATTTCATTGAATTTACATCAACGAAATAAATCTCAACATAAAATCAGAGGAATACAATACATACCAGATAATCTCGAGCCAAGCACAACATATCAGACGGGATACCAGTAATTGGGCTAGTAGTTCCTTTTGGATAGAGCAGTTCACTAATTCGTTTAAATTTTTAAAATCATATTTAGTCATTTCATTTATCACATCAATTAGAGTGCTAAATCGTAAATAGCCATATTAATTCTATAAATCAAGACTGAACCTTTTAACTATCCAACACCCTTGTACCAGAACTGCAACTTGTTGCAAATATTGAATAATGGCCGTATCATCGATATCAGAAGGCTTTGAAAGGATAGTGCCAAGCTGGCTGAACTGCATTGCTTTCGCTTTTATATTAGTGCATGAAATTTAGAAAGGAAAGTTTAAAAATTTTTGCTGAGCAAATAAATACCATATTGCAGTCTTTAACATACCACTGAGAAGAATCGATTTAATCTGTTCTGGTAAGCTCATTGTTTTCAATTGTGTAATGGACAAGATATTTTCGGGATTAACCGAGACACTATGACGAAATAACATAGCAAAAATATTGCAGGACATTTTGAGAAATATGATTGCATGATTATAAGAGTGCCAATATTAGATTGCTATTTTTACCTAACTTCCGCTGGAGGAGGCGGCATTAACGCATCCAAATAGCCTCTACGATGAAACATTGTGCATACAAATCTTTACATTTATACATCACTAACCAAGATTTTAAAAGAAAAGATAATCATGTACCTATACGCAATAATGCAAAACTTACTTGGCAGATATACCGTAATCACATGTAATCTCATCCATATTTCCATTAGTTAATAACTCTCTTTCCACAGTGGCCCTGGTATCATCTCGACCCACAAACTCTGCTTCAATCCATTGTTCTTCAGCATTCTTCTTTTCAAGATATGCGTGAGAGCTAATTCGATAGGCCTTGGCTTGATCAGACTCAGGGACAGCATATCGAACCTAAGAATTGGCGAATAATGCAAATATGAAATATAATGATTGCTAAATGCTCTTAGGTAATCAAATAGTATGATTTAAAAATGAACATACAGTAACCGGTTTAATGTCTTCCTCTTCTTCGGAATCTGATTTTACAATGCCGCTATTGCTATTATCTAATTTTCCTGTACCGTTCGCACTTTCTGCCATATTAATATAATCAAAACTAGGCCGTAACTGAAGCATAGCTTGCACAGGAGTTACATGTAAAGCATCTAAGTATTAAAAAAATAGAAAAGTCTTACTTGTTGATTTAAATCTTGATGCAAGGTACAACATAATCGGCCTTTTGATGTTATTACAAACAACTTTAAGTAATCTATGCAACGAAATAAACACTTACTATTTTTCATAATCCCTACAGCATAACGATCATTATTTTCTGCCTTCATAGAAGCTAGCACCTGCTTATCCATGACAGAACTGTAAAATAAAGTTAACCTATTACAATAGATCAACATGACAATGCCGCGCTAGCTACCGTAGGACCTGTCTTAATCTACATCACGCAATTACTATTATCTAAGGACAAATTAATTGTACGAAATGAATTAATTTTAGACCAATAGACAATCATACTCATCCTAAATACCAATGCTATACTTGTGTTAATCGAATAGTAAATATGCAATAACAAGATACTTATTTAACTAAAAAGGTTACAACCTATTATAAAAAGTCTGATTGTTTCCTTTTAGAGAGTTGGATTCATTGACCGCTCGAGCCATATCTTCACCTTTATTTGTACAGTAATTTTTTTCAGTATCGACCGCTACTTCTAGTTCAACCTATAACAAGTTTCATTAACGAGACAATGAGTTAAGCTTTGGATATTAGAATCGTGGTCAAGGCCAAAGCCTACTTACCTTTTGCTGTTTTGGCTTGATACGAGCTTTCATGCATGATGTGTCAGCGTAAGGCATCCGAGTGGACCTTACCGGATACTAGAATGGATAATATTCAATTACAACGAATAATTTTCAGTTGAGTTCCTAAAAACCTGTTCTAATAAACTATCATAGCAAAACGTAAATTGGTGGTTTCACGTCGATTCTAATTACCATAGTAGAGTATCATGGATTAGTAAGTAGTGCAGAAAGGCATGCATTGCTCTACATCGTACAGTATTATGTTTACAAAAAATGATTTGTGAATACTTTAAGACGATCATTCGAGTCGAAATTTTAATTCATTGTGCTGGTGATCAGCAAATATTTTGCTGATTTCGCCAACAAGTAAATTGATTATAAGCAAGATGGAGTTTTATCTAACAGAGCCTTAAATGACTGTTAAAAGCGATCGTAAAGGACGATAACTTATTATGTGAAACAGATTATAAGAATTTCATCTATACTTAAATGACTGGTGCTCTATTTTGTTGTAAGCCAAGCAAGTCGTTGCATTAGCTAACACGTTGTACTGCAACCACGATTACGAGCAACTCCCAAATTTACAAACGGCTACCATATTCACAGCCACAAAGGATAGGATAGAATGTATTTCACGTTCTGTATCGTTCAAAATTGATAGTCAACGAGTATACTTTACTGCGATCGTCATTAAAATAATGCATAACATAAAATTAATCGGGCTGGCCAAGTATCATTTCAGTTCAAAGTTCTACAATAATTATGAATGCATCGCGGCCTATTTTTAATATTGTGCAGGTTTAACAAGTATTAACTTGCACGATAATGGAATATTTCACTTTGTCGTCAAATCGTGTAGAAAGATATACATATTAAGAAAATACTAGCTTTGCTACAAGTATGAATTCATCATTGGTATCCACTTATCATATAGAATATTGCAATACCTCAATGGACATGATTTCTAGTGGAAATATTGTCAAACAGGTGAATGCTATACCGTATTCGAGTCTCTAGGCTTGTCAATCCGGCATTGACTGGAGTAATGATGGAGATTACTCTTCAATACAAGTCGACAACTAAATTTCATTAATATGTTGCCCGTGTGGACAGAAATCTGATTAGCCTATCATCCCTCCATGGTTGGTGTACTACTTTTCCAGGCTCTTGTTAATGCTACAGTAGAAGATTATTAACTCAAGTCTGCAATGACAAGGAATGAAGACTCCACAACGTCAGGAATGAATTGAACGGGATAACTCATCATCCTTCCATTGTAGTATTCTATTCATTAATAATCATGCTAGCAGACTTTATCGATACTAATCAAGATCTGTCTTCATGATATTATTAACAGGCTCATTTCATTACAGCTATCAGCTTACCATCATCAGGTATAAATTATCCTTTAAATGATGAGACAAGTAGACGTCGATCTATGAAGAAAAGCACAACATGAACTTTATTCTTATTCATGTTCACAATTAATAAGCTTTCATTGCCTTTCAAGAACTTTTCCATGATAGTAGTATCTAGATTAACTAGTAGGATGATGGAAAAAGTCAATTTTATACCTCTTTAACAACAGGATCGTCTTCATCGCTGCTCTCACTCGAGTTATGGCCACTTTCTTGCTCAGCCATTTTGGATTCGTTTACTGTTACGCATGCGTTAAATGTCTGTGCTAGTTTTACCACTTGCAAATATATAACTGAATGAACCAATACTTGCAGCTGTATAGGGTATCGTACAGTTGTAACGTGAGTCCAAATTGTTTAACGCTATATTACAATGGGGTTCCACCCGGAGAAGGTTATGGTTTGGGTAGCGATAGTTCAGCTTCTACATAGGCAAACCTAAATGGCTGCTGAAAAGATTCGAGTAATTGATAAATGAGAATATTATAAGCTGAAAAGTCAGACTTTTGAGATCAGGTAGGTAATCCTAGTTTGCAGTTAGCTGAAGATCAGCTGCTATTGGACAGATACTATGATATTTTACATCAATATTGGATGAAAAACTTAAAAAAATGAGGATTTAAGGGTCTGGTATTTTTGCCTGCATCTTATAGTTGGAATATGGCTATAGATTAACGATATGGAGACAATATGGATTTGCACAGGATACGTAGAGTATATCAATATATATCTAAGGTTCAACTAAATAGCTGCTGCTGGATTTGAGAAATTGATAAAACCTGAAAGTTAGACTTTTAAGACCAGGTAGACGATCTTAGTTTTGCAATTAGCTGAAAATCAGCTACTATTGGACAAATACTAGGATATTTTATATCAAAATTGGAGGAAAATTTTTTAAAATGAGGATTTAGAGGTCTGGCATTGTGCCTGCATGCTATCCTAGTTTGAAGGCAGCTATAGATTAATTATACGGAGACAATGTGCATTTGCACAGGTGATGGCATAGAGTATATCGATATTTGAGGTCAAACCAAATAGCTGCTACCAGATTTAAGAAATTGATAAATGAGAATGTTATAACTTGGAAAGTCATACTTTGGGGACCAGATAGACGATCCAAGTTTGCAATTAGCTGAAGATCAACTAGTATTGCACAGATACTATGATATTTTATGCCAATATTGGATGAAAAACTTAAAAAAAATGAGGATTTCGAGGTCTGATATTTTGCCTGCCTCCTTCCTATTCTAGTTATAAGATGGCTATAGATTAACTATATGGAGACAACGTGTATTTGCACTTATCAATACTTGAGGTAAAACTAAATAGCAGCTGCCAGATTTGAGAAATTGATAAATGAGAATATTTAACCTGAAAAGTTGGACTTTTGAGACCAGGTAGACGATTTTAGATTTGCAATTAGCTATAAAGATCAACTGGTATCGGACAGATGCTATAATATTTTATGTCAATATTGGATACAACAACTTGAAAAATGAGGACTTGAAAGTCTGATATTTTGCCCGCATCCTGCCCTAGCTTGAACATAGCTATAGATTAACTACATGGAGACAATGTGCATTTGCACAGGTGATGAGATAGAGTATATCGATATTTGAGGTAAAACTAAATAGCTGCGGCCAGATTTGAGCAATTGATAATGAGAATGTTACAACCTGAAAAGCCGGACTTTTAAGACCAGGTAGACGATCTTAATTTGTAATTAGCTGAAGATTAGCTACTAGACAGACACTCTGATATTTTACGTCAATATTGGAAGAAAACTTCAAGATCAAGGATTTGGAAGTCTGTTATTTTGCCTGCATCCTGTTCCAGCTTGATGCTAGCTATAGATTAACTACAGGAAGACATGGGTATTTATAAAGGTGATGATAACACAGAGCATATCAATAGTTGAATCTAGACCAAACTCAATTTACTAATACTAATAATATTGTAGGCTGAAAGATGAGAGCTTGAGGTCATGTATTGAGTCCGAACTTGCAGATATAGCCGTAGGTTAACTGCTTGGGGACACACTCTGATTTAATGGAATTGTAGAGTACTGTACAGTATAGTATATCGGTAGGGGAATATAAATGACTGGCAACTATCTATGTTAAATAACCCTATGTATGAATATTTTGAGCTCTATTTTTCATGGCGTAAAATCGTCCAATATTCAGTATAATAATTAAATGCACCAATTGATGCTTCACTGCATACATAAAATAAAGAAGTGTGATAAAATATTGTACATATTCCGTGATAATACCACCCATCCTTCCTTGAAACGAGCAGTGCGGGGGTCATTTATAGTACTGTTAGATGACTCTGATTATGTAGAAGATTCTTACAGTACTTTTTACCTCAAGATTTCTTCATGTAAAACGAATAGCTCTAAGGTAGTCATTTCTGCAGAGTACTGATTATTGAAATAGTATTCGTTACATCGTTAAGGGTGGCCACTGGGCCTTTAAATTTTGATTTCAATTAATATTCTGATGAAAATTGATATAGAATTGATCACAGTACTAAGGACATTGTACCGCACTGTCGATATCTTACAGTACCTGCTAATCTTAACTTGGTATGTCCATCACCGTACATTAATTATCATCATGTGCTTTGGACCATTAACTAATCTTAATATAGCATTTCATCCGTGAATGCATTATTAAAAAGTAGTATTCTAGAAGCATAGCTGTGAATATAGTAGTGCCTGGCTATTACCGGGATATAAATAATGTCGAATGGCAATACTATCTGTTAATTATTAAAAAATAAGTACATTATCGTAAACCGTCAGCAAAGCGACGTGAATTTGTACTAGTTTATAACTAAATATAGTACATCATCCTTACCATAAATCGAAGAAGTGTGATAAATAATGCACATTCCGACAAATTGATGCCTGAATCAACCATCATACCTGTACATCATTCTAGCTATAAATCATATACAGTATTAGTAGTTGATAAGGTATGATTGAGTCTTCATCTTGAAAGCTCTCACTAGGAATTGAGTATAGCCGAGCCAATGCTCTATTGCATGGTGCAAAGATTTAGCATTTTAATTAATTATTCCAGATTTAACACCTTTGGAATCTTTCCCATACGGACAGTCAACGAACAATTGTTGTGTGGATACCCTCTTATAAGTTAGCTAATAATATCGTCTAGTTGTCTACTGTCTTATGATAGCAACACCATAATTGAAATCAATTTTGTAGAACAGTCTTGCTATCTAGAAATGGCTACGCATAAAAATATCCGCTCTACCATTCAATATTTTCATGACAATGATGCATTTTGTAAAATTATTCCTATCGAACATTTATTATCACGTCTTGTAATGAATAAAATTATCTTGAAAAAACATGCGGCAAGAATAAAGCGTAAAAACTGCAGACAGGAAAAGAATCAATTATTCTGTCAGATTTTACGAAAAGAAAGAAATGAAACTAATTTTATGACATTTTGCGATTTATTGTGCTGCGAATACGATCGAAATGTGGCAGAGATTGGACGCACTTTGCATGATATGGCCAGCTCACCAGGTATATCCAATGTAATAAACATGTGATTATAAATATTGAAATGAAGGTGTAAAGTAACAATAATTAAAATACTAATTGCATTCAAGAGGTATTGGCAATAATGTCTTTCCATCGACTTTCTGGAGCTACTGTAAAACTTAAAGTATTTTCGATAGTACACTGCACTCATTTATTGCTATCTTATCATCGTGCCAATACAATACTGGTATTATTATGAGAGATATTAACAAAATACTAATAAATTCACCTATGCATTTGTCTACTTTTTCTTCAATTATAGCATGTTGGAAAGAAGACAGCTATCAAAATTTCTCGCTTGACAGCTGTATCAAACCCCTAGCTGACCTTAATTTAACTTCTTTCAATTCTCCACAATATCATGCACTAAAAATGCAGCATGATTCCAGTGGTGCTCGACTACCAATTGGATATGTAGCGAACATCAAAGTAGAAGAACTAATTGCAATACAAAATCGGGAAGTCAAGAATCGAATCCAGTCATTGGATTTATTTTATCAAAATCCCTTCATTAAGTTAGGAGTTTTTTTAAGGGCAACTGGTATTCCGGTAACATTAATTATGGTATTGTGGCAGCAAGATTTCATTTTTTCGATGGATATACTACAATATTTAGCCAAAGTAGGCTTACTAACCTTGTCCAAGAAAAACGAAAGGTAAAAAATCGAATATCCTTTTAGTTCTAAGAATAGGAATGGCCCATGATCGGTCTCATCCCAATATAGCTAGGTCCAATATTTGATCATTCAGTATAAGTACGATTATTTAATTCATACAGCAGCATTGACTAAAATATGACGTCGATTTATAACATAACAGTAATGAAATTTCTCCCCGTAAATAATCCTATTTTATTGCTAGCCAATGACTGAAATTCAAGCTGTGTATAAATAAGCCCTGCAAACACTATATGCTGTTATTTGCAACTACAAAAATTTGTTTCACAGAAAATACCTAAAGTAGAAGGGTTAAATTTTTGGATATTTTTTCTAAATTCATCCATTTGTTACCGTGATTACTAGCATCTTATGATATTAAAATCATGTTTTACTATATAGTAATAACAGCTGTAATATTTCCAGCAACGCCACCGTTAAAGTAACTTATTTTCAATCAATTGTCTAGATGATCCCAATAATACCATTCTTAATATGTACCAGTTAAGTTATTTTCTTAGTATATATGCTCTATTTACGATTAAACTTGAGGTCAACCAGTGAGAAAAGTGATATTAGTAAAATTAGATCCTATTTATAAGCATATATGTCACTTATAGAATGGAAGTTTTCAGTAAAGCTATGGAAAAGCAGGCTAGGTTTAGTTTAAATGCGAATGATAATTAATAAATTTGTCCGTAAGGCGGTTTAAAAATATCAATTTTAATCTAAAGGCCCGGCAGTTTGCATTTCCTGAGTTGAAAATTTTACGTAGCTATCGTGACCATAAAATACCGCTAAACTAGGCAGGATTGGACAGAAGTTAAAGCCATATTTGTTTTGACAGTTAAATTTTACTTTCTGAACACGCACCGCAGAATGTTCATTTTTGGGATTATTATACTTCCTGGATAACGAACAGTACAACTTATAATTACTAACTTGGTTTATAAATTTATGCCATAAAGATAAATGATTAATTCACATGGATATATCTTTATTTTAGGAATTGCTGCAATATCGACGAAGACGCGTTTAAATACGTTCAAAATATCCAGTCTTATAAGCCCGATTGTCATTCTTTGCTTTTAGATGAGCTAGAATTACAATGTCATGGAAACTGGCACGAATTGCCAAATGATGGCTATATCTATCATTATCTTGTAAATCATGAGATAGCAGCAAACAAATTTAAATCAGTAAAATCGCTTATAACTAATTTGCGATGGCTTGATTGTAAAGTGAATGCTCATCACAATTTATCTGTCATCTTGGAAGATTTTGTAAATATTAGAGACAAAATATCAGCACAGGTAATTATTATATTAAAATTACGTATGCATATTTAAGCATGAAAAAATACCTACGTTCAGGATTCTAATGGTGCAATTCTTATATATTATTCAGGATTGGCAGGAAATAATTCCTTTCTATCAATTCCTTATTCGCTATCAAGGGTATTTTGACATAAAATTTAATGACCTTATTCAGTTTATTTTGCAATACCAGCAGCCACATCAATGTTGGTATGCAAAGGCAATCCAAATCGCAAAAGAAAGAGTCGCAAACAATTCTAAATTTCAATATTATGAAATAGTGTAAGTTTTATTTCGTCCGCAATTTTTTTTGCTCAAAGAAATGCAAATACTGATTACGATCCGGATGTAGTAGGGCAAATATCTGAATGCTTTTTATATTTCTAATGCAGTTCTTTAGCCAAAATACGTGCAAAATATTGCACGAGAACAATTACTGCTGATAATATAGAACGTATAATGACTTTTAGTTGTTGTAATCCTAAGTTGGGTCCTTTTAGAATGGTAGTTACAAATATGACTGATAGATATACTCAGGTAAGATGCTTCTTAGATACGAGTAAAGAGACATTATGTTTAGAAATGCTGCCTTTGATATTTAAAACTAATATCTTACATCAAGATTGTTATGAACGTGGAAACTGGGACAAAATTATTTGTCACTTCGAGTGTATGCATAGTAAAAATTTCATCGGATGGCAAAATGATTGCATACGTAAGTAGATCTTTTGACGACGTTATAATTCAGTAACTACCAATAAAATGTATTAAACTAACGACAATACATTTCTACTTTTTTCATTATCAATAATGCAACTTGTAATTGTCTTCTATGAATTAATAATACAGTGATAAATTGATATTTACAAGGGTTAAAATCTTCTAAATTTTATGTAAAAGCAAATAGTATAAGTGACAGGATTCAGATTTGAATTTTAGACAGTTAATATTTAATTCCTTTAACTGACGGTCGAAACCCGATTATTTTAAGAACCAAGTTATTTTCGATTCTGCATTAACGTAGGCTGACAATTTAAAACTCTGGCAAGTCTGGCACATTGATTGCAATACGGGAATGAAATTTATTACGGTAGATGGGATTCGTGATAATCACCAATGTAATGAGATGGAATTTCCAGTAAGCAACAATTCACTTATCGCTTCATGGCACAATAATTATATTTCGGTAAGGTGTAATCTAGAACTCCTTCGATTTGCTTCTAAACTACAGGATTAACCATTAAGGAGTAAAATAAAAATTAATTACTCTACTTGTAACTACCCCATTATAGTATCAACATTACCATGAATTTTTAGCAGTTAACAGACAAAAGCAGTAATTAATGTTCATAGTATCAAAAAATCTGATTTAAATTCAGCTGAGCTCTATTCTCAGTTACCATATTTAATATCCAATACATGTTGTATCTAGATCTGGAAGATCGATCAGCATAAACTTTATATTTCAATGACGAAAAAATGGCGTGCTTTAAGTCACTCAACGGTTCAAGTTTGTCAATTTGTTAATAATGATAACTCTATTTTGGTATGGGGTCATTATTCTCGAGCATATCAGCCCAACAAATTAGCTTGCTACGCTAATTACGACAATATCAAATCGCAACTCACTGGCAATTATTTCAAATGTTCGAAGATTGAATTTTGTGTAAGTGATTAAGATGACTAATTGGGTTACAGGCATTTCAATGTTAGCGATTTATTAAGATCATATCTGGAAAGTGGCTGTAACTTGATTTCATTTATACGTTATTATTGACAAAAGTACCCACTAACAGAACTGTAATCGATCTTGATTATCCTTAAATTTAAGCTTTTAATCAAGTTTAATTACCATTCGTAGCTGCAGGCATCCTAATGTTAGCTGTTTATTGGTGTTACGTCTTGTAAATATTACCGTAACCAATTATGTTGATCCTATTCGTTAAATCTTGCATAGGGCTCCATTAATGACTAAGAAATATTCATAGAATAGCAGAAAAAATCTTGAACATACTGTAGAAAGTCACAGAATATTGCCTGATACCACCATCTACAGTACTAAGTTAAAATTTCTAAATTCCCTTTTATAGTATTATATGCGCGCAAAATTTGTTATGCATATCAGTACATCATATACTCTTCTACATTAAATTTAAAGAAGCTTCAAATATTAATTGAATGTCCAGTATAATGAGATATCTTTACTGTTAGCATGGATTTAATTCGTGAAATCAAATGAAGTAGAAGCTATTGCTAGTTTCCTAGAAGTAAATCCATCTAAGGCACTCGAGTGATACAGGAAACTATATCTGCAGCGCATCCGCTAATTTTATCGTGGATTGATTAATCAAAATTAATTATACATTTTACCATTTTCTTATCCCTGTATTTAACCTATGTGTATTTCTATTTAATAGGTATGGAAATTAGGCAAAGAACTAGTTACAGATGAAACAAGACTAACGATACGCTTTAAACATTTAAATCAGTTCAACAAAAGAAGTTTACGTGGATGTTTCCATGTTCTAAACCATCGCTTTTTTCTACTAGATTGCATCGTAGGAAAAGATTCATCACATCAATTTTATCATAGCTTATATTTAAAAGCAACCAAACATAGTGATATTGATTTAACAGGAGAAATAGATACGTTATACTATCAAATGCAACCCAGGTTTTTTAATACCATATACCTGTCCCAAGATAGACAATCCATTGCAGAAGTTGTTGAAGACAGGATACAGGTAGCTAACTAGATCCAAGATATAATGCTAATCGTTCCATATAATAATAGCTTAAAAGATTTATTTCATTAAAATTTTAGATCTTTACTGTTAATGAAGATCAAATTTTGGCTTACGGTATCATATACTGCCATACTAACCTAAAACATGAATCGAAATATCATCTTACTTTCGTACATAATATGGATCAAGTAATGCTAAGTTATGAACAAAGAATTTATATTTTCGACGTCCAGAAAAGAAATACTCATTCAGCATATGATGATGAAGATAAAATTAAAATCATTTGTGCAAGTAGTGCCTTCGTTGATGATGCTGCTGTTTTAGTGCAAGTGATTTCCAAGCAGTCTATTTATTTCCTTCAGGTTATTTTGCTACATAACGTATTTTAGCTGCTATTGGCTAATATAACAAGTCTTCATTTAGTATAAGCTTCTTCTTCAGCCTTTTTAATATATCATCGTAAAGGATTAACTTACGAAGAAATCGTTCTAATTTCTATAGACATATGAAGGTGAATCTTTGAAGCTTACCAATCAAGTAACGCTTGATATAAATTCTCATGATCCTGAGAATGTATCTTGTGAGCTATTAGCAGATTGCAATTCTATCGTTATTATGCATGATTTCCCTGATTGCGAACACAATCAATTTGGTATACGCACTCATAAGTTAGATTTAATGAAGAAGCATTTGTCCATTACGGTGAGTTTTCGTATAAATTATGATTAGATAGTACGAAAAGATACGTATAAATTTAGTTCAGTAAAAGACTAACAGTAACATTGGATGTAGGTAAAAAATATAAAAGATATAAAAACTACATTCTGGAGCTGTAACTTAGACTTTGAATGTTCTCATTGGGTTCCTTGGCAAACTACTTGCAGATATAGAAAAGATAATCATCAGTTGATTGTCATAACATCTATAAATCAAAATGTAAGTTAATGCCTCTTTGTTGAGTTACCGAAATTTTAATAATTGAAGTAAGCTCTTGTTAAATCGCTTGCAATTAACAGTAGTATGTAAGTCTTATCCTTAAATGTCTTTGCTTTAATGTGCAAATATCAACTTAATATAGTATACCCTACCAAAAAAATAGACCATAGTTGTTGCATTGAGGAGCATCAAATTGAAATAATATCTATAATTTTAATATTATTTACTGTACGTACAATGTAAATTCTAACTACTTCGCCAAGGTAGCAGTACATCAAATAGCATAATACACTAATATTACGCTTAGAAAAGTCTCCTACATGATGTATGCTTTGTATACAAATAGCTCAAAATACGCTCTAGCGATATGGAAGAGTTTAGGTTTCATCGATCTGCAAAAATTATTCGTCATTAAATATCGTACCCGTCGTTGATATTAGTATGAAATAATTGTTGAATCATGCTAGGCAAAATCTTACTGGCTTCTTTATTCTTTCTTAGGACGTAAGCACTGCGATAAAATTTATCATATGGCTATTTGATTTCTGTAATGGAGAAATTTTGCATGCTTACCGTCATGAGTCTAGTAGTCACTGTGACGTTCGTTATTTTTCCGACGATTTGGTGCTTTCATATACGCCAGACAGTAAAAGCTATATGGTAATTCATCAGAGATTCAGACTAATTCGGATTCTCCTGCGGCCGACATAAACCCTTATTAGTTGATTTACATCATATAAATATCATAAGATATTAGATACGATCTAGTTTGGTTATTGATAGCAGACAGAGATTTATAGACCAGCTCATCTAGAAATTGGTTGATTGTTTTGATCTTTCATTGAGTAAAGAACATTAATCTACTAGAAAATTTGTAATCAAATTTCATTATCTGTTTATTTTAGCTTACTAAAATTGGTAACTTAGAAACGGATCTGTTATATTACCCTATGCTATCATATGATATCTCCTGCGTTTCAGCAATTGCAATTTGCAAATTGAATTTCCAGGAGACTAAAACCTCCTGCACCTTTTTTCATTATATTGTCTATCAAGAAGATTTCAGAACTTGGCATGTTGATATAGAAAGAAAGGTGCGAGTGTGTTAACAACTTGATATTAGTTTAGAGATACAATTTAGCTATACTTTAGACCTAATACATGTGTAAGTAGTAAGTGCTGCACAAGTTTAAATGTTTCTACTGAAATGTATTTAGCAAGAAATAGAAAATGGAATCGATCAGATAGAATTTTATCGCATTGAAAATGACGAAAAAGAACTTGTTCAAACTTATCCATATTCTGATCATATATTATTACTTCGCCATGAATCTGATTTATCGGTATTGATTCTTATCTAACATACTTAGAACAATAATAGGAGCGGAGAGAAAATAATGTAAAAATCTGTGAATTTTATCCCCATTTATAGGTATACGACAAAAATGGAAATATAATTTTTCAAGTTATGAAAGGAAAATACTGTTTTCCGAAGTCACGAAAAGAGCATGGCAATAAATCGTGGATTAGTCATAAAGAGTATATTATTATTGGCAAAAAGAACCAACTTGAACTCTATGATTTCATTCAAGAAAAATACTTACCGGTAATAAAATCCGCACAGATCGGTATCCCTCTTTCAATCCAGTTCGGTAATAGCAAAAGAATGATTGTCTACAATGACGCTAAAGTTTTCCTTTACATTACATTATTAAAAGAAACTGAATAATTTTTAATAAGGTATGTAGTGATTGGAGTTCATAAAAGTATATGAAGGATAAATCACTCAACCAGGGATAATAATTGATGTCCACAAGTTTAATATTCGACCGTTTTTACATTATTTTAAATGTTGTTAATACTGTATTAAATCAATTTCAATGAGTGATACACAATATTTGATTATAAGTTATTAAAAAAGAATTGAATTTCTTTGTGACATAGTGGCTATCCACAAGCCGTTGTGTAATCCTGATGTTTGCTGTTTGATTTAACTTGCTACCTTATAATATTAGCTACGCTCAACAAAAACGCTTCTTGGCTTGTTATTTTTGAATTGCGTAGAAAATTTTATAAATATTATTATGGTTGAATGCATATTAGTAAAGTATAATTACACCGATTGTTTTTTGTTGTGTTGGTCTATATGCGTTTACTGGTTGTTATGAAGATTGCACAAATTTAAATAGGCACGTTTTCAATCCGCCAGTATTATATTCTCACTAAAGCCACTGGTTGAAGCAATCGGTCTCATCATAAGATAATAATTGGAGCTATTAAGTAAGCATTTACCTAACGGAAATATCATTACCGGATGGAATTAGTATCGCGAGCGGTATCTATGGCAATTATTTACATAATATCCGATCATATCGTTTTAGTTCATGATGGTTGTGAAGTAGTCTGCAAGAGCTCTAATCTTAATATCGCTAAGGACTTGATCTCAAGCACTGCCATTACTATAATTGAAAATATCAAGATTTTTACAGTTTGTTTCTAAAAGTTTATTAGCAAAAGTTATATTTTGCGACATTGCATGCATATAGTGTAGAACCTTTGATTAGTGTTTCTGTTCAATTTTCGAGTATACCATATTATTTCTAATTTCTGTTCTACATTGCTAACAAACGTTAGCTGGGCTAAACGGTGATAGATTTAATGTTGTTCTTGTAATGCCGGTTATATTATACCAAGCATAATTTAAATCAAACCGTAATATATTAATCCATATCCATCATCCTGTCCTTTTCCATATTAAATTATTCTGCCATTAAGCAACATGACGTAAAAGGAGTTTGAATACAGCTTAAAGTAATTTTAAGACAATCAGGAGTTAAAATAGTCGAGTCTTGGGCCACTTATAAGTATACCAATCCATTCAGTGCTAAGTTTTAATTTGCAGCGATACACCCAAACAAAAGTAACTCACACCGTAATTTCTTTTTCGCTAACGTGTCGTATGAATTAAAATACTAGAAGTCTATAACTGATTCTTGTTTTATTCGTGTACTCCAGCTCACTGATTTACTTCTGTGAAAGGCTTGATATCTTTTACGAAGGTAGGAGAAGAAGTTGAAAGAAGGCGTAGGAAAGCAAAATATTAAAATGCATGCAGTACAATAAAAGTAGGGTTTATTACTCAAGTGTTTAACTATAATATAACGTAAATTAAGTAAAGCTGATTGTTAACCTATTCAATATTATGAAAACAGGAGAAATTCAAAAAAACAAAATGAAGCAATTTTTTTCAAATGTCGTGTAAATCCAAGTATGACAAGCGAATGTTAATGAGACATGAGCTAAGGTTAATGCAAGAAAGCACTTGAAAGTTAAGCAGAGCGTAATAGATTAAAGATAGATAGCGAATTACTGTGTATATTATCAAATTAGCTTAAGCATTTTACGAATCATTGCATTTCTACTTTCTAGATAGTTGAAAGCTGCTTGCCAGAGCTTCAATATTTAAATGCTGTTGTATTTCGTGGACGGTTAAAGAGGCATCCATGTTGGATAGTTGGGCTATAAAAGTTTTATTTTGATATATTTACATACGAATCAAAACATCTCAAACTATGTTAGAACACCTTTCTATTTAAAGGGTGTGATAGTACACGGCTAAAATGAATTTATTGTTCGGCCTAAAGAAAAACTAATACCAGCATATTCGATAGACTATCAAAATATATTTACTAATGGCTTATATGGCCGTTTATTATTGAATGCAAACCTCATCGAAAGTGTCAGTAGTTGCTTAACTTTCAAGTCTCAACCATTCGACCATGGCCATATTAATCTATATAATCGAGTTCAAGTTAGCCGCTGCTTCTCCTGCTTGCTTTTACCCGGCCCCATACTGTATACCATGCTCGCTTTTAGCATAATTCATTCATCAATTATCATAACAATATCGTCCATATTGATTGTAGAATAATAAGGCTCTGCTACTTTATATGCCGGTTAAGATTAATGATCATAGCTCTGTATAATACTAGAGTGCCTACTACTACTATAGTGAAATATGGTGATTAGGTCTAGTCAAACGCCATAGAGTAGAGCTGCTGTTGGAAGTTGAACAAAACTCGATACAACTGAACTTTTCTTACTCAAAGTTCCACCCTAGCTACTAGGTTTGGCTCGACAACAGTATATGCTAGCGAATCAAGATTAGATTAATTGATCTTACTGAAGATTAAATCAAAACGTGTAGGAAAGGATACTGCATTAGTAGAATCAAGATTATAGATAAGGAGTATCTAGAGTAAGCCATTTTGTTCAGCAGTAATGTCTTCTCGTTTAACGCTATCGTTATTGCCTCATAATTTGGCTGTTTGTCGGTTGCAAGCGGACAGCAAGATACCTGAGTGGGCTACCATTAGTCATTCCTTTATTTCTATAACAAGAACATCGGATGAACTATCCATTGTCTGCCAAGATGATATTGTACCTACGGATGTGCAAGCTGAAAGGCGTTGGAAGATATTTAAAGTAGAAGGGCCTCTCGATTTCTCCCTCACTGGAGTCTTGTTCAAAATTTTACAACCATTAGCGGACGCTAATGTCAGCATTTTTGCTCTTTCGACCTACGACACCGATTATATTATGGTAAAAGAAGAAAAGTTGGAACAGGCTAAGCAGCTTTTATCCAACAAGTATCATGTGCAAGTACTTGAATAAGTTATTTAGAATCTTGCTCTTGTTATCCATGGATAATTATGGCGATTCTATAGTGAAATTAGCAAAATATCGAACCAGGTAACTGCTGTGTAGATACTGGACACTGTCCAGTACAGTAGTACAAAATGTTCAATCGTCCAGGTCTCTTTTCCTATAGCATAGACTACATCATACTAAAGTAGACCATCATTAGAATGTGCATTAGAACACTCTTAATTCAAGATGGTAATAGACTAAATTAATATTCTCGGTAATGTTAACGAATGGAGCACTTTCTTATTCTATAGTATAAGCAAGTATAGTACTCTACAGTCTACCCAAGTGGACAATCATTAGCATGCACAGTGAATGTATAAAGGTGATCATTGACTCTATAATTTTTTGGATAAGGTTAAAAGAATTAGATAGGATAAGCAACAAGCACAATGCTATCCATGCAGTTCCCTTTACAGTATATCAAAATTACAGGTCAGATCGCTGGCCTGTGTGAGTAATGTCAATCTTACTTTTAAATGTTTTCATAGAAGTGTAATCGGCATACTTTCTATACTGTTAGATGCAAAATTAACTTAAAAGACCGTTTGGTTTTGTCGATTACCTTTCAATGCTATTATCGAATGATATTCAAGTATAAAGGTCGATTAAGACAGTTTAAATATTGCCATAAATATTGAATATACAAGCAAGTTAAAAATTGGATTGATTAATCGTTCGATTATAACTTATTAATAAATATTTTAGGTGCAAAAGATACCAAGCTCGTTAGGCTTGAGATGTAGAACTGGTCATTGAGTAATCGTACAGTATTTACTACTTTCATATCATAGCACAAATTGGATTGTTAACTTTCATCACCAGATCAAATATATAACTGCTGGCTGCTATTTTACAGTTTCCTCTCTATGGTAACTTTAAGGACAGATTGGGATATATATGAGCGAATTTAGATAACAACCGGAAGGTACAACCTGATCTGATGGGAAAGTTGTTTTACTTTATTGAGAATGATCTTACGTTCGTAAGAAAGCATGGTAATACTGCTAAGTAGACGATTTAAGATTCGTATTGCTGTACTGGATAAGCTGAAAAATATCTAATAGTGTCTGATCAGGATTCTTATACCCATACTATTGCCGTTATAGTACTACAATAATCTTGCCTATGCCAATCTCACACAAAAGATTGTAATAGCAAACTATATAATCATTAATCTGTGAAATACAATCGAAAGTAAAACGCTCAAATAATCTCTTTCCCACCGGTAGACAATATTCTTCCAATAAGTTTAGAATGCATTGATGAATAAACAATCATTTCCAAGAATATACAAACGAACAATTTAATATTAGACAACTTTCAAGGCATCGAATAATAAAAATGGCTGAATCTATCGTTGCTGTATAAGTAAAAAATTTTCTTTATTGAATTTCGGATAAATTCAGAGCAGTTTGATATGGAAAAAAATATTGCCGAATTTTTATTAAGAACAATTTCAACATTTGTTGCAAAAGTAACCCATTGTTCTATAGAGTAAGAATGCCAGAAATTTCGCGTATTCATTTTAATGATATAGTCGTAGTTTCATGGAAATTTGATAGGATGCCTATTACCTGGTCCACATTGTAACAAGCTAAACCTACCATTTTAAGGTAAACGATATTGTAGCCAGTATGTTGCAATATCCAGTGGTATGATGGTCATAAATTGGCAAAAGTTTGAACTAGTCAATGTAGCTAATTTTAATGGAAGAACAATGTGGAAAAATCCATCATTTAGCAGCTAGGAATCGAGTAGTACATCCGGTTTACAGGCGTCCTATTTAACTTTCATGAGTCCAAACATAACTCGTAAAATATTTTTGTACATCATTTTCAAAATTGTAAACATTAAAAACAGACTTTCATCATGACAGCGTGTTGTAATACACAGTGACATGATACCTATATAATCTGGCAAAAGTAAGAATGGTTCGGTGTAGCCAGTCTTATTGGCATAACGATATCGAAAAAATTATTACTGAGCAGTTAGGGATAGAGTAGTACAGTCGGCTTACAGACGTCCTATCCAACTTTTAGGGTATCTAAGCATATCTTATAAAAAATTTTATGTTCATTCTAATTATCAATATCGTAAACATTTAAATCAGACTTTTATCATGTCAGTATGATAGGGTTTGAGGATAAAATAAATCTTTGTCAGGCGTAAACCACATTCTCTTGGCCCAGGGGTTGATCGTCTTGGATAGCTGAATTGCATTTTAATGAACAGGAACTCTGCTTAACACTAATGGATATCACGGGGATAATCATTAGGAAAACAGCTAGAAAGAGGATCCCACAAATTATCTAATAATTTATACCATTTCCTAGGTTGAGTACGATCATTGAGTTTTTTACATAGATTACACCAATGTTGCGGCGGTTTAATAAACCAATGAATCTTCCATTCGAAAAAGGAATTATAAAGTTTAGGATCCGTTCCAACTCTATTTAAATAATTAGCCAGATCGATGACTGTACTAAATTGACGGATATCAATAAAGGAATTTGGAGGGGCGGTTTTATGATAATCGGCGCCACCCCATACCACAGGAATGACATCGTGAGTTAGTGCATTCCATAATTTTTCCGTGGCATAATCGATACAATAAGAATTTTCTAATGCTAAATAAAAGCGATAATCCCTTAAAATTTTATCCCAACATTCGCGACTACGTGGACATTTGCGATTGCCACATGAACCATAGACATCAATTTCAGTATGAAATGATAGCTCATAAACAAAATTTGTCCTATCCTCTAAACATGAGCTTGCCATCCATGCCACAAATCTCTTTTTGCTAGCTAAATAATTGACATTACCCAATGATCGTGATGGATAATCGCGTACACCATAACTACCATAATAAGCATGAACATCAGAATCTCTCCTATAGGACATGGTCCAATTGAACATTATGATTGATTTAAAGGGTGAAGTTAACCAATAAGTATTCTTTGGTGATTCAATATTGTAATAAACCCATCGTTGAGAGTTGATTCGATGTTGATAATCCGGCAAATCAAAATTCATTAAATGGCCCATTAAGTCACGATCAAAGAAGACAATAGCAGCAGCGTGGCGTTCTAACTTTCTATCCGTAGTTAAGAAGCAGTTTTGAAAAGAACAATTACGAAAATATTGATTTCCCATAGGTAAGTTGACTTCTAAATCGTTTTCTACTTTCCAGCTATCACCATAATAAGACGTCCATAAGAGGATGACATTTTGCTTTTGTGGCCAAGCTTTATCCGAGACTAAATAATGCGTCACAAAGATGATATAGATCAATACCACAAAATTAAAAGTATAAATTAAACGCTGCGATGTTATTCTAAGCGAGAAAGCCATTGCAAAAGAACTTGATCGAGTGTGTGCTCCAGCCAAATCCTCCACCTTTCTCTCCCACAAGTCCGTCAGAATGGAACATGCCACGGCCAAGGGGTGCCAAATAGATCAAGTCGAAACGGATATTCATGCAATCATCGTAGAATCCTCTCTCAATTTGAACTCGTTTGAGACTGCTGCTTAAAATGAGTCAATCAACGTACGTAGAATGGTAGATTTGGATCGATATTTCTCTTCCTAGGCAATCAGTATCCACTTCGCCAAAAGAATTGCTGCAAGTCCATTAACGTTGCAAATCACTAAGCAATTTGACCAGCAGCCAGCAGCTATGGTTAAGGTTACATTATGTCCAGTGCTCTACTTTCTACAGCAGTGGTTACTATGGCGATAGAATCACCTTGGAAGAGAGGATACCATAGTAGTAAACGCCATACCGCATCTCAAAAGGTTCAATTAGTCTTGGTGTAATGTACTAAACACTGACTGTGTTTTCGACTCCAATTTAGCAGGAAAGCGTATTACGATTGCGCATGCACGCTAGCGTGCATGATGGACCAGTGTCCATTGTCCAGTGTCTGTCTACCAGGCATGGACGACTGGAACATACTGTTCTCACATACTATACTGTTGTCCAATGTCCGTCCATGCTAGTAGGTTACTGTGTCACAGAACCAGAAAACTTGCTCATGTATATACAGTCATGGACTACTTGCAGAAGACCTTCTTCTACTACTCCATGAAACTGTTTACTAACCTAGATTTCTTTCCAGTAGTCTATGCTGGTAGGTCACTGCATCACATAACCATAGAAATTGTTCATGTGGACACAGTACGATGTACAGTATGCAGTCATGGAGTGCTAGAAGAAGACCTTCTTCTACTACTCCAAGACATCGTTTACTGGTAGTATCAAAACTATTTTATTCATGAATTTTAACCCTGGCTCGTGATACCAAATATTTTATCTACTTGGCTTGCACTTTTTACTTTAAAATTTATAATTTAATATCACTTGATACTGAATACGCGTATATTGATTTCTGATCAGTAGAAATTATGCATTCATTCAATGAGAATTATTTTCGTTTAGTCTCGACAGACACACGGCTAATTTCTCAATGAATTACACAATTTTCGCATATAATGGTACGAATCGTGATACTGTAGTAATGTGCATGTAAAATTCCGTTATTTTATTATAATTATTAGGTTTGTTAGTATTTTTGATCTATTTCCAGGTTAATTGGATTACTTAAAACAATTTGTAAGAATGATATAGTATAATAAAAATTAAAATTTATGATGTACTGTACTTTGTCGTACTAACAATATTATTCAGACAACTTAAGAATTCGCAATAATCGGTATCAAAAGTTGTGTCTTTCCACCATGAAGCGGTTATCAATATTAGTTGAGTGTGGATATCGCATCCTATTCTATTCGAGGAAAAATTACAAGCATTTACATAAATAGTACAAAGATGTAGTCGTTGATATCGAACAACGTATTGCTTACATACTTGAAAGAGATTGTAATAATTTTAAACTTCATCGTCAAAATAAACCCTATTGCAATGCTACTGAAAGGTATTGAATGTAACTATTTTATCCGCAATTTTACTGTGTTACTCATTATAAGTAAGTAATAGATTACTATTTTTTTACACAACTCAAAATAAGCTCTCATAAATTGTATCGATATTATCCGCGAAATATATGTAATGAAATGTAAAATTGCAATACTGCGTAAATGCACGCATAATAATAATGAAAATTTTAAAGCTGAAACGTTTTAGGGAATCAGTCAGAGCTATAGTTTTAAAATCCAGAGTCTATCACCAGTAACTACCTAAAATGAGGATTTCTGAACTTTTGCATCACTTCTAAAAAAGAACTGAGTAATCCTAGTTTAGCAGTAATTATAGATTAGCATTGAAGTAGTAGAAATTGTAGAATCTTGTTAATTACAGCAATATTTCAAATAGGGTGATACATGTATGCCGAGAAATAAGCTAGATTGCGAAGCAAGTCGCCTTGGTAGGGTAGGCTTTACTGGTTTATATAGAAAGTGCGCGTAAGAAATAGAGGCAAACTCTGACCATGCCGATTCACTACTAACTTCTGTAACACAGTGATATAATACTTGCGATCTACAATCAACACTTTAAAGTAGTATTAATACTGCTCTTCCATAAATGATTTCTATTGCTTGCCGCTGTTGGTGTTTTAAGAGTCTCCTATGATTGGAGAAAAGCATGATCTGTATAATTTTTAGGACTTAAAAATATATCCTGCTATTTTATTCACAGTGGATGCATACGAATACGAAATAGCAGTTACAATAAAACCATGGGAATTACTCAGCCACTTTTTGCCATTTAAATGTCAAGTTGTTTGCTTTAATAGCTCTAAGGAATGAGAAGGCCAAAATCTGTATCATTTGTAATATTTAAAAAATATATTACTATCTATTCAATGTTGATGAATACGAATAGAGATCAAAGTCCACGAGAATTAATTTGTTATTTGATGGCAATTATACGTAAAGATTCAGAAATATTTGCGTTACGAATCCGATGAAGCAGTAAACGTATTGGATATTTTGGTTTTATGCATGATTATGGCGTTATAGACGTAAATTTTATGGAGTAATTATCCTCCAGTCTTAAGATTTTATTCAAGCTACATTTCATCATTTGCGTTAATATGTTAAACGGCATGATAGTCATAAGGAGGAGTTATGTAGAATAGTATGGCCTATATCTTATCAAGTATGTTTATAATTATATGTTTACAATTATACTATTATGGAACATACAAACTGATATCGCACCCAGTAAGCTACTCTCATTTAACTGTCTTCATAGAGACTATTGTTTAGCGAAGAGTCCTGAATAGCACTACAACAGGCGTATAATTAGCCTTAGCCAACAAAGGACTACTAAAATATTCTTCAGATGGTATCTAATAATTGTTGTTTCGGTATATGGTGACTATTGTAATGATAATTTAAAGTTAGGCACAGTACGTATATAAGCATGCACAATTTATCGTAAAAACCACTTCCTATAGTACTGGACTCTTGTTCGTTGGTTGTAGACGCTGAGAATAAAAATCTTACGCGTATTTTTGCTGCTATCCTGTTTAACCAGTGTGTACTTTTCTGTAAGTAATCTACGCCTTCATTCCTACCTGCAATTTCACAATTACTGCCTAAAACTATGCTATATAAGTAGGTGCAATTTATATGTTTTAGAAATCGAATTGTGATCAAAATTGTTGTAATTCAGTCTATCGCAGATGCAGACGGAGATGGATGTTTTTGTTATCAGTTACAGTCGTACTTTTGTGAAAGGAACCACCTTCCTGATACCAAACTTTGGATCAGATTGCGAAATAGATTTCAAAGATACGCCATATTGGTTAGTATATCCAGAAAATGAAAGATCATTAGCAATGAATCAATTAATACCGCTCTATTTTGTTTTTGAATTCTACGTTAACGTGCTGTAAAGTTCACTGTTTATATCGACTTACAGTAGAAATCTTTCCAAGTTTTCTAGCAAAAAACAATTTTCCATTCGGGTTTATTTAAGAGTACCGGTACGTTTGACATGAGTCAGTTTCCATAGCAAAAAAGAAAGTCTTTTTCCTGATCATTTAGTCAATTAGTTAACCTTTCGAAACAGTATTACTGATTAATCGTATCGCTTTATTTAACAACAAAATTTTTTTATTTGTGAAATATACCAAAAAAAGGAATTTGTTTACGTTAGATTTTTTATTCAAGTTATACCAGAGTTAGATAGTTTGATAAACACTCATTTCTTCGCGGGTATTTTAATAGTGCCGGTAGCTTCTGAAATTTTGTCACCGCAGTAAGTGAGAGATTTCTTAATGTGCATTGGTAATATTAACGTAGAAGATCCACTTTTGTTGGCTAATATGTTAAAATTAAGTCACTGATGTTACTCACACCAACGGCTGGAAATTAATGAATTCGTAAAAGATCGCATCTTTGAAGGTCATGGGTTATTTTTCACGCTGTACGGTACCGGTGCCCAATTTTCCGCACACACTGGCACTATACTATGAAAATTGTTTATGACGTAAACTGAGAAAATTATAATTAACTGACTAGACTGCAAAAAGTAAATAATAAAATGAGTAAAATATACATATTTTAGTTGCACACTAGAATCCAAAAGTGATGATGCAATGTACTATTGTCTGTAGCATCTTTGTTGGCTAGCATAAATTCAATGCATGCAGACACCTATATTGTTTAAAAAAATTTGCAGTATTATTAATAATTACACGCTTAGCGTCGCTCAATTACATTGAGGGGTCGCACTGTCATTTAAATGATTCTGCCCCATGTGACATGTACGTTCAGTTTTCTATTTTTGAATATCATAAATGGAGCATCAGTCACTTATGAAATTATACTACTTAATTGAAGGGGCTAGCTGTTCGTAAAACATACGATATGGTTTAATTATTAATCTTTTTTAATTGATTTAAACTATTATAGTACGTGTGCTATTGCAATCGGATATGATTTATGTCTGATTATCATTGTTTGTAAGCAGTAAGAATAATGCCAACAGCCATTTATTTTGAGTAACTATATATTAAGAAATGGAATATGTTACAAAGTATACGAAATCTCACAGCTAGAAGACAATCTCTACCCTACTGTATTACTGATAGGGCACGAGTATTTACGACATAAACAAATTATATTTCCTAAGCACAAATTTCGATTTGAAATATATCCAGTTATATGCTTCAAATCCTTTCATGCATAAACAGTAATTTATTATTTCATTTTTAGCTGCAGGATTTGACCGTATTCGCTTACCGGTCGGGATCTGAAAATCTCTGCTAGTTAAACTAACTAGAAATTATAGATTTAATTTACGTTTAATTCCTGCTGTGTTATCATTCCATAGGAGCTGGTATTTTTTCCCATTTATAGTTGGTAGAAGCCTGGTCATAGGCACATTCATAGTGGTGCTGAAAAGATTTTGTCATTGGCATCCTAAAGATGTAATCGGAATTCGAGAACTATGCTGAGCTGTTTTCTTTCACAATTCGTTATTATGCTTCTTAACATTCGGACTTGCTTTATAATTACAGGCATGTGGAAAGGAGTTCGACTTGGAGGCGCAGATTGAATTATGCATCTGCAAAGGAACTGAGATATTCCAACAAAAGGATCAAATAAATCAGGCTACAGAGGCAAAAAATTATAAAATGAGTCAAGAGCAGCTAATCGCACCAGGGAATCGAAGAAATATCCAAAGAAACGTTTCAAGCAGTGCGAATGGCATAACAATAATCATTGAAACGAGTGAAGAGTGCCAAATCCAGCGAAAGAATCAATTCAGATTAGAGAAAATTTCCTATAATTGTATGGATCAAGTCGCCGATGCACAAGCTGCTGGAACGAGTGAGTATCATACGAGAATCAAGCAAGGGTGGCAATTAAGTACAAAAAACAACCTTTCAAACAGTGCGCCTGATCCACCTAAGAAAAAAATTATTGGAATGAGCGAAGAGCATAAGGAGATCCTGCGTGTTCATTCTTCAAATATAATGAATAGTATTTCAACCTGTGTGGAAGAAGTCATTGACAATTTATACACCCACGGTGTTATCACTGACGGTCAAAAAGTTAAACTGTACAGTATTCCAAACAGACATCAGTAAGTTTTGTTAAGCTATTGATCAATCCTATGCTTTAAAACTATCTGCTTTTGAGGAAAAGTATGATATTCGATATACGTGTACTATATTAAATGGCGTTATCATTCAGTAATCATTTTTTCAAAAATTAAATGAAAATCCTAGATAGTCTTTCGTAGTACTGTATTAACATGTACAGTATACCATCAGATACTTTTACAGGATACTAGTAACAATAACCATGCTATGAGTTACTTACTTAATAAAGTAATATAAGGTAAATTTATGAAATTTTTCATGAATTATAGACAAGTTAAATCCTTGCTGGATATCCTACCTGAACGTGGTAGTAAAGCCTTTGAATTATTCTGTAAAAGCCTAACTAAATGTCACCCTGAACTGAAACGTAAGTTGGTTGAGGAAGCTGAACTGATTGGTTTACCAGTTTCTATCGATTCTATAACTTAGATAGAAGTATTTTACACAGCTATGATGGCTATTAATCACCATCAAATGTACGACTATGTTCCGTAAAATTGTTTATCATTAGCATGATGCCGCTCATATTAATCTGATAAGTTTAATTAATCGATAAAGATCCGCCTTCTAGAAATGCCGTTATTATTTTGTGTCAATAACATTACTTTTCAATGTTTTTCGATGTAGATAAGAAATAGTGAGTTCTTCTTCGTATTTTATTTCATTGCACAGTTAATACGAGTAAATGTTTGCGTTGAAGACAATTTCGATTGTAGAACCAATCGAACTTATAACTAGCTAACAGCTAGAAATAAATTTGGATTTTTATGTACTATGTTCTAAATGAGTCGCATTATAGCGATATCAGTGCAATCGATTCAGTCCACTTTTAAACCTATGCTACAACTTTCCTACCTACCTACCAATAGGTAGGAAATTTGGATAGATTACTGCTGGCATTGCAGTGTAATCGCACTTAATTTCTGCATCATTAATTGTGTTGTAATAGAGTAATACTCTGTATTTCGTGCATGTTTGATATAGGACATACACTGTGTAAGAAAAAAGTTAAATAGTCCTATTATCCATTATCGGATTTAATTGATATTACGTACGTAAATATTGCAATATGATATTTATTGTCAGTAAATTTGTTTCCTGATTACTAGACTATTACTATTAGACTGGAATACAGTATTAATTAAATTAGTGATTATCGCTTTCTTTCTAAAATTAAATAAGATAATTTTAGAAGAAGCTTACCGATTGCTAATTCTCTCTAACAATTCTTGTATCATGTAGCTTTTACTTCCGTTGTCCGGTGTATAAACAAAAAGTAATTTAGTCATATCATTTTAGAACAGTGGTACGAGTCTACTTTGCATCATTGTTTTTATTAAGGATTGATAAAATTATATTACTTGCAATCTAATTGTATTTTTAGCAAAAGGGCGATAAATTCATGTAATGTAATTCATTAAATATATCTGTACGATGTATCGCCTATTTTTCATTCATACAGCATTCAGTAGTATGTTGCGTTAATACTGTATCAAGTTATTTATACATATGCTGATGGATATTAAAGTTTACATGACAGGAATTGATTAATTATTGTTTAATAATCCCTTTGATGGCCACGGGTGCATGAATGCATTTGAAAATCACATGACCATCAAAGAGGCATACCATTCAGACAAATACTGTACAGTACACGGTAAAAAGTTACTGAACCTCTGACAGGTCTATCAAATGGTAATACTATCTGTTAAATGAGCACATTATCGTAAACCGTCTGCAAAGCGACGGGAGTTTGCACTAGTATGATATCAAACGAATGAAAAGCGAGCAACAACGTTAGTATTCATGCAAAATTTTGTGCGCATGACCTTTCTTACATGCTGTAACTTGCATAGGCACTTATTTCGTATAGCTTGGTGTAAAAATAGGGTACAGTTCAAAATATGAGTCAGCACATCATACGAAATAACTACCTCCTAGAAAGTTATGTTAAAAAAAGTATTTTGATATCATGCCAAATTGTGAATAATTAAGTAGTCCACGAGGACAGTACCATACCTGTGGCTTCAAAAAAGGCGGACAGACTTTTTTAGACCATGATGGCCACAAAAGTGGAAAAATTGTAACTGTACAGTATTAGTCCAGTTAGTCATGAGTTAGTTTGGATCGTTGATGTCCAATTTCCCGAATCGCTCTCACTAATTCAAATTCTTTTGCGACTTGATACTATAACTAAGCCATCCAGCAATCTGGCCGAGTGATCAATATTGACAAATTGAATTGCTATTACATAATTGATGTCCGTATTTGTTTATTAATTAAGTTAAATGTTACAACTGTACTCATAATTGACTCTGCTAACATTGAATTGTAAACAACGCTGATTATTGCCTACAAATGCTAACGGGCCCTGTGTAAAATAATAATATAGATTTATCTCATCTTTCGCCAATATTAAATTTTCATCTACATTATCACACGGATCATCGAATGCTGCTAATTCGAATGATAGAATACTCATGTACGGTTGATTTAGAAAACATCAGTCGTACCATGAACAGGAGTAGTTGTGGCCGTAGGTAAACAATAGTGGATCATATCATCGCTTTCAATTTAATTTAAAAAGCCTTCCGGGTAGATTACGATTATATTCATACTTTATCTCTTGTAATTAATAAAAAAGAAAAATACTGATGATAGAAAGCAGCTGGATTGCTGAGACCATGCATGCTTGAGACAAATTAACAGACAATGATCTGAAAGTGCGGTACTGTACTGTACACTGTACAGTACAGCACACGGTATTTCTAGAACGTTTACACCGTTGAATTTTATGCACACATTATGAATGTCATTCCATACACGATACGTCTAATTAAATTAACTCAATAATAATATGGAACATAGTCATGTATTTTATGCTCATTAATAAATTACCATTGCCGTGCCAAACAATTTCTTTACTCTATGATTCGGAATTGAAATTGGCAGCTCAACTGGATAGACAAGCTTGCCTTTCTAGATCAGCCAATTCTGAAGAAAGCGACG